ACCAAGTCTCACTAGCGTGTTACTACTGGTCTTATGATAGTGGTGTTTATTGCTTTTTTTGTTCCCCTGGAGAGGGTTTTGCTTGACTTCTGTTATCCATTCTTTCATTTCCGACATTATTTCATTGTGTTCATTTATATAGATACTTATAAGTAGCTTCTCTCTCTCAAATTTTTGGTTGTTTTTATTGATGTTGTCATCAGTGTGCGTCTTTCGTGACATTATCATATATTTTGTCTTCGCTTCATTTACCTCAATACCAACTTTGACCGAGACATCTTTGAGGTCCCTGAAAGCTTTAATGATATCATTGCTGTTTCTACCAAGTACTCAGTAGCGCTATATCATCTGAGTATGCCAGGTACTACAGTGGCTGGCTTTATACATTTCCTGATGTTTGTTGTTCTGTGCTACCTCTCTGGAAGTAGTTTGTAATGGTTCCACTGGTGCTCACATGTATGTTTCTCTGGAAGTAGTTTGTAATGGCTCCACTGGTGCTCACATGTATATTTCTCTGGAAGTAGTTTGTAATGGCTCCACTGGTGCTCACATTTATGTTTCTCTGGAAGTAGCTTGCAATGGCTCCACTGGTGCTCACATTTATGTTTCTCTGGAAGTAGTTTTTAATGGCTCCACTGGTGCTCACATTTATGTTTCTCTGGAAGTAGCTTGCAATGGCTCCACTGGTGCTCACATTTATGTTTCTCTGGAAGTAGCTTGTAATGGCTCCACTGGTGCTCACATTTATGTTTCTCTGGAAGTAGCTTGTAATGGCTCCACTGGTGCTCACATTTATGTTTCTCTGGAAGTAGTTTGTAATGGCTCCACTGGTGCTCACATTTATGTTTCTCTGGAAGTAGTTTGTAATGGCTCCACTGGTGCTCACATTTATGTTTCTCTGGAAGTAGTTTGTAATGGCTCCACTGGTGCTCACATGTATGTTTCTCTGGAAGTAGCTTGCAATGGCTCCACTGGTGCTCACATTTATGTTTCTCTTGAAGTAGTTTGTAATGGTTCCACTGGTGCTCACATGTATGTTTCTCTGGAAGTAGTTTGTAATGGCTCCACTGGTGCTCACATGTATGTTTCTCTGGAAGTAGCTTGTAATGGCTCCACTGGTGCTCACATGTATGTTTCTCTGGAAGTAGCTTGCAATGGCTCCACTGGTGCTCACATTTATGTTTCTCTTGAAGTAGCTTGTAATGGTTCCACTGGTGCTCACATGTATGTTTCTCTGGAAGTAGTTTGTAATGGTTCCACTGGTGCTCACATGTATGTTTCTCTGGAAGTAGTTTGTAATGGTTCCACTGGTGCTCACATGTATGTTTCTAATGCCATTTTGTAATGTAATGTTGAAAAGGATACACGAATCTCCTTGTCTGAGGCCATGATTAATTCAATAATTGGGAACGCCCTCGAGTACTCTCCCTGTACTTTGATTCCACTTTTGGGGATAGCCATCGTCACATTTATGAGCCGGTTCAGTGTGTTAGGGACTCCAAGTTCTTGTAGTGTAGTGTAGAGCATCGTACGGGTATTCCTTGTCTACGACATCGTAAGCTGTTTTGTAGTCCACATATAGCTGGTGTATGTTGATGATGTATTCGTGCCAAGAGGGTGTGTTGTTGCTGTATTATTGGTGGTGCTGTCGCTTTGAATAGACTAAAACAACATTAAAGTTAATTTCATTTATCTAAAAAAACAACAACCGAGGTTTCATTGGTTATTTGAATGGTAGTTAATACAAGCATTTAAAGCAACAAAAAAAACAACAACATATTTTACGAACGTTGACCTAATGAACTTTAATGCCTTGTCCCCCTCCAAAGTAATATTCTAAATGACTAGTAAATAGTATTATTAAGAAATATGTCCAAAATTGTGTGACTCTTACGTCAGACAGGTATATTTTTAATGTAAAACAATATATGTTTATGACATTACTATGTCAAAGTGGACAAATAATTGTACGCTGACGTGGCGTGATCCAAATAAGTAGATGATTGATGGGAGACTTTTTAAGTGCAGAACTCACAAAAATTATGTTTGTCTTACGGCGCTCAGATAAACAGCTGATTAAAATATAATTTGAGTGAAGAAGCTAACTTGAGTAGACGTAGTTAGCATCGCTGTCAAGGTTCTACAGTAGCGTTCCCCAAATGGTGGCCCATCGCCGGCCCGCGAGCCTTACGTTGCTCCTCAAATCAAAACATTAGTCCCTAAACTAAGGGAACACGTACATGTTTAGAGTATAGGAACTGGATGGATCTGAAATCCATTGATTGAACTAAAGGCTGATTTCAATGTCACTTTGCAACATCAGTTGTTAGATCTCGCTGCTGGCCAAGATATTTTTTTTTTTACCCATTTGACATCACTAGCATCTGTGTGGATTCAAGGCAAAGCAGAATATCCTGAACTTGCTTTGAAAGTTCCTCTCCCATTTCCTTCAACTTACCTTTTGTGAAACTGGCTTTTCGTCCACATGAGCATTGTTAGCATGGGCGCCGGCAGAAAACTTTCTAGGGGGGGGGGGCAAAAAAATCGATTAACTTTCCAGGGGGGGGGGCAAAATTTTTTTAGTAATGTTTTAATCTAGTTTTAATTTACTGTAGCGTTTTTGTATGGTGAACGAACGGACAGGACATCAGCTTAGTTACTTTCTCTTTATTTTCTCTTTACTTTAATACATTTTTTTGTCTATTTTTGTCTAAAAATTTTTTATCCAATCAATCCAGGGGAGCGGGGGCAAGTGCCCCCTCCCCCTTGGCCCTACCTGCGGGCGCCCATGATTGTTAGTTAAGATAAAAGGACAAAGACAGAATGAATATTCGTTCTCCTTTGTGTAGAGTACTGTCAGTAGTTGGCCTACTGTCTACAACAGGGGTCACCAAACTTTTTTGACAGCGGGGCGGATAAAGAACAAAATGACGGGCGTGGGCGTGGGCGTGGGCGTGGGCGTGGGCGTGGGCCGTAGACTTTATTTTTACCAGTGACAGACTGTGATCATGTGATCGGTACTTCCACTCAAAATAAATGAATATCTGTAGCAAATACACGTCTGCAAAACAAAGTGACCGTATGTTACACTATAAACGTCGGTGATCTACTTTTAGAAGTTAACTTTTTTTTTTATGCCAACTTAACTCAATCCCACAAGGCACTGCGATGCGAGTAGTTATTGTATACATTTTATATACTGCATGTTTATGTATTAACTATTAAGATACTGTATTGTACGATTTTGAGACGTTATGAGACGATTTAGGAGGTCGAGGGTAAACAGGTCTGCAGTGAACAAGAAAATCTAGATACAATAATTGAAAATGTTAAAATTAAGGCGCATAGAAGCATGTGTGAAGATCTCCTAGTATTCTCAACATAATATTTAAATTGTATCATAAAGTCTCGTGTTCCATACGTTTTATCAAGCAAATTCAAGTACCGTCGGCGGGCCGGATCAACTGACGCCGGCCGGCGGGCCGTAGTGTGGTGACCTTGGTCTACAATATGGCTACAATTTGATTTTCTTGTCAATAAAAGGCACCCCACATTTCTTAATGTCAATGTTCCAATTAAAGAGAAATATAAAATAATTACATTATAAGCATAAAAATGCCCACCCCCGCCCCTTTTTCAAAAAATAATAATTTGCCTTTGCAGTTTTAGTTATATTACTAAATCTGGCACCAGTCCCCGTTGCAATGAGAAATGTGTCCACTGGTCCACCAAACTTAATAGTCTGGAAAACGCTGCTCTAGGGCTGTTTAAAAAAAACAAACAAACAACCTCCCCCTACCCAAAAAAAAACAAAAAAAAATCTATTTTTATTTTTTCTCAGTTTAACGTTGGAATTCTAAAACAAGAATACATGTATGCATGCATGATGTTATTTATAAATAAAAAAAAAATTTTTTTTTTAAAAATACAGATACAGTGGCGTCACTAGGAGTTGTGCGGGCTGTAACGGATGACACACAGCATTGGCAACTCAATGAAATAAAATTACGGGACAAATTTACTAAAACTTAACAATTTTAAGAATAATGGGGAATATATATGTGTACATATATATATATATATATATATATATATATATATATATATATATANATATATATATATATATATATATATATACATATACACACACATATACGATTTTGACGCCCCCCTTTAAGTACCGTGCGGTCCTGCCCCCCCCCCCCCGATTCCTCCCCTTAGCTTCATCACTGGATCCATGTATTCGTACTTAAATTAATGTGCGATATGCACGGCATAATTTCCTCTTTATTGCAATTGCTTAGTTCTATAGTTCCCAATTTTTTTTTCGATTCTCGGGGCCCTTGCTGACAAAGTTGATTTTTTTATTTTTGTCAAGACGCTCTTATATCCAGTCCTAACAAGTAGGCTACACACTGCCAAAAGCAAATCAATTTAATAAAACGAATTTTTTTGTTGACTAAAAGTAAAAGCTCTTTTAACTTTCTGATATAATAATAAAAACATGTTAAACTATATTTCGTTGAAAATATTTCTCTGTAAACCTATGAGAAAACTGATGTGCACCAGTGGCGTAGCGAGGGTGTTTGGCGCCCGGGGACAAGATCCATTTTTAGCGCCCCTTTTTCTTTTTTTTTTCAACTCTCAAACCCATTATTTTCATCAATAAAATAATATCAAAGTACATTTTGGCGCCCCTAACTAGCTGGCGCCCGGGGAATCTGTCCCCCTGCCCCTACCACGCTACGCCTCTGATGCGCACAATCTGAGAGCCACCGCTTTCTTTATAATAGAAATTTATTATAATAAATGCGATTTTTTTTACACAAAAGTTAAACTATTCCCTGAAAAAGGGCTGATCTATAAAAAGTAATCTTTTAATTTGTTTTAAAATGTAAGCCTTACTATTTATAACTATAATTAATTATCCTTTTTTTAAATTTATTATTATTTTGTTTTAAACGAGAACTATCGCGTTCAATTGAACTTCGGGGTCAAAAGTTATTGAGGTTACACATTTGCCCAAGTGGAATGGAATGAAAACCAGAAGACTTGGCAATTTGGTCTTCGACAGAAATATGGATATTTTGACATTACATTGTGATTAAGTTTTATCTTGCTTAACTTTGTAATGCACATTATCTGCAGTAGTGGATCTTGGTCCAGTATTTTTGTTGCTGTTGTGTTGCACTTTCGAGCATTCTTGATTCTTCGCCTTGACGGTTTGAACGTTTTTTTCTAAAAACTGCACATTGCAGTCATCACATATTATATATACCGAGTAGCGCTTTGCGACCTAGTTAGAATGCAATCGATAAGAAACAGCTGTCTTGCTCTTGTAAAGCACCGGGATCAGTTTCTTCATCCTATAGTTTGGATAAATCCAACGAGAATAATGGCATCAACTTCAGCCAAAGGTCAGAGACTTGTCTCAAGCCCCCCAAAGTCTTTGATGAAGCCTTTGGACGTTCCTAATAAACTTTTGATGGGTCCAGGTCCATCAAATTGTCCACCCCGCGTTCTGGCTGCGGGAGCGCTGCCTATGTTGGGACATCTCCATCCAGAATTTACTAAGGTAACCAAAAATTTATTTTGCCTTTTTAAATAAATTATTTGACCAAAATGTTTGGATTTTTGTACGTTGCTCCATAGTCCATAGTTTTAACACGTTTATATTGAAAAATGTGTCCCTAATAATATGTTAGTCAATAAAAAAAATTGTGAAGATTTAAATCATTTGCCATTTGCCAATGCCAATATAATATATTTTCTTATATATTGAATTAGCAACCTCTGCTGGAGGCTGGCTTAATTATTTAACTTTACTAATTATATTATAGAGGTGAAAACTGAAGTAAAAAAACTAATTAAGTTGGTAATTACAGTATTATGAATAATCAAAAGTATGAATTAATTTGTAATTTAAGGTATGAGTATGAATGAATTACTCATTTAAGGTATGAATGAATTTGTCATTTTAGTGGTGTTACCAGATGTCCCTATTTATTACTGACACTTTGTATTTTTTACCCCCTTGATAGTCCGTACATTCCACTTGTCATCTGGCTTGTCCGTACTTTTGGCAGCGACAACTTACTTGCCTTACTTCCATTTAATTTGATTTTGTGTCTTCTCATTTCTCCGCAAAGGTCAGCCCAGTGAATAGTTTCAACGCAATCGTGCGTAACATTTCTTGTTACCCTAAGCATTACTGCTGCACCTGAATAAAAATGTGTGAGACTATCTGTGCATGTAAATGAAATCTTCCCAGGGAAAATTTTGATAGCAATCTTTTTAAGTTAACTTATGATTATGTGAAACAATTTTTGTCACCCATTAAGCTGGAAGGATGGAACTCGCAAAACATTTCTGTAGATCAAATAAATGGGTGAAAATATTTCAACATTTCAAAAATGACATACATTTTGTAGAATTGCAACAACTGCTTGAGTTTTCATTCAACCTTCCTGGCACAACAAGCACCTGTGGATTGAGCTTTCTCTCAGGTAAACAAGGCTTGAACGCCTGAGAAATTTCAGCTGAAAGTAATCACTCTGACTCTAAGATATATTTTGATTTTTCAGTGTAACATTGAACTAATGTGTCCTGAATTTTATGATAAGCTTCTTGAGAATGGAAATTTGTTAAAAGCTATTCATGGGGCTACAAAATAGTTTGTAACAAAATGATGTACTGAAGGATATTAAAAATCATTTACAACACCTTTTGTTGTTTTTATCCCCACACCCCCCCCCCCCCCCCCCCCCGTTACACCTCCGGCTGCTGTGAGCCTTTGTGTCCGTACTTCGCATCCAGAAAATCTGGTTAGCTTACTTTAAGGTATGAATGAATTTGTCATTTAACGTATGAATGAAATTGTCATTTAAGGTTTATGAATGAATTTGTCATTTACAGTATGAATGAATTTGTCGCAGGCGTAACCAATTAAATGTGGGAGATTTCAGATATAGTTTATGGGCATATGGCAAGGTTGAATGGACTAGTCAGAGGAAGCCTTGGTAAATAATAGCATGGTGAAGTTGGAATTACTGGGTCATCTTGACACAAAAATCAGTAAGCTAAATGCCTGTAATCTACCAGATACATTACAGATAAGCTGCCAGAAAAAGTCTGTAACAAGGATAAAAGAAAAAACAAAGAAAAATAAGGTCACTTTGTTATTGTAAGTCCTAGCTTGGCCATGATTTAAGGGGGTTAATTTTCAAGTTATAAAAACAAGTTGCCTTAACAGATGCAAGTTCATGCACAGATTTGTTTAATAAATTGATAAAATTCTTCATGATGAAAAAATATGTTAAATAGCCAGCTCATAGGACAGCTCAATGAAAGGTGGTGCCATTGAAAAGAACAAAATGTCACTGTATAATGATGAGGCGGCATGAGATGACTTGTGTACCCCAAAACCAAAACATAAAACCCAGCTGTGGAATTTGATACAGGGGGCACTGTATCTTGCTAACTGCTTGTCTCCCCCACCAGGCTTAGAAAGGAAATTGCAATTTGTGCTTTTTGTTTATGTTCAATAATTTATTTCTCGGAAACCCTAGTGAAATGTGATATAAATTATATCTTGCCCGAAAGGGTATTTTATTATCTATATCTTAGTAAAGTTGGAAGTCTCCATTTTTATAGGATATTTTAATATTAAGCAAATTATGAGTGTTTTCATATTCATTCATGGGAGTCCCACCCCTTTTATTCACTATATCTCTAAGACAATTTACGTGAATAAACACATATAAGACTTAGGTTTTTTGCCTGGGATTTTGATTTTCATTCGGGTTGGATTCTCTAAAGATTGTAAATTATACCAAAACTAAAGTGCATGCTTTGCTATGTGCTCCCTTGATAAGTTTGCGTAAAACTACTTATCTTTAGCATGCCAGCATGTTTGGCATTCAAAATTTGAATTGCTGCCCCAAGTGCGCCATTCAAAACCTTTTATTGTCCTTTTTCTTCAGACTTTTTCTTCAAACTTTTTCTTCTGCTATTCTTTATTTAATTTTACAACACTCTAAGAAAAAATAAATGACTATAGCTCTATGGACCTGAATTTCTTAAATTTCTGATTAATAATAAAATTGTATAATAGAATTACCAACCAATCATCATCTCGGCTCATGGCTACATATATTATTATATGTTTCCTTGTTTTTCTATACTTCAAATAGTTCTCCAAAACAAATGGTAGTCCATGACAAAAACAGAATCTGCATTACCCCCCAAACCTCTCAAAAGCCAAATTCCATCATTTTACATGAGTAGAACATTTAGAAAATGATGTGGCGAAGAAAACATATTTTTGGATTTCTATTTTGTTGCTATATTTTTTGTTAAAAGGTAATTTAAATATAATTATTAACAATTATTGTGTTTATTTGTATGTTTTTTCAGATCATGGATGAGGTAAAAGAAGGTATACAGTATGCTTTCCAGACAAAAAATGAATGGACATTTGCAATTTCTGGAACAGGTATGCATTATCCAGTATGAATTTACATCAGTGATTTAAGCCAGCTGGCCCCCTGATTCAGAATTGTGCAAAAAATGTAAAGCCTAAATTCTTGAATTTTTAGTTCTTAAAAATATTACTGTTTCTCTAAAACTAAGCTTTTGTTTCATAAAGCATGGGAAGTTATAAAATGTTATCTAAAGTTGCAAGTGCACTATAAATAAAATTTTATGTATATTCCTAAGATTTCCATTAAATATTCATACATTTTCTAAAAATTGACAGGGGACAATGAGGAATTTAAAAAATGTTTTTTTTTTAAGAGTATAAATTTATTGAACATGATTATATTTATCCAAGCAGTTTTTTCACTAGCATCTTTTAGCAACTGATATTATTAATTTTGGCAATGTTTATTCGTCTTTCTACTGTATTTTTGCAAGATATATTATTTATAAGGGATATTGAAGCATTTTTCTATTATTACATTTAATTTACATGAGAAACAAATTAAGGAGCAAATTTTTTCCCTGCCCTTTCCACATGCACTCACACAACCCCCCACTTCCACACAAAATCTCTTCAGAGAATGCAGCCACTCCACACCCCCTTTCCTACACCACTGAATCTGTGACTGCATTCACCATTATTATTTTGCTTAATTAAGGACTTAAAACTAAACATCTGAAATATGAGCAGTAAGTCTCATGTACCGTAGCCTGTGATTAGCAAAATATGGTAGGGTAATGACATGGACATGTTTGTGCTAATAACCATGTCCAGATGTATGACTATACATAATTTGGGCCAAACAAATTTCTTATCACATATTGCATAAAACTTAGCTTGGTGAAGTTATCAGCTTATCATGCTGTTGAGAGGGAAAGAAGGAGTGTTAGTTAATTCTAAGTTACAGTTCCTGAATCTTTCATTATTTAATTTTGATGTTATAAACAAACGATTTTCCTGTACATCAGAAAAATGATCAATCTAAATGAAATAACGTTCAATTCACTAGAACAGACAGGTGCAAAATCCTAGCCTCAAATCTGTACTTCAGCATGTATTTATCTAACCATCATATGATACTCATAGCTCACCCATATATGTATTAAATCAAGACTTCACAAGATTCTCTCTTTTGAATTGTAGTTTTTCTCATCAGTTTCAATTAAAAAATCTCTTTGAGACCATCATCTCACATAAAATCCCTCATAAAGAAATTCCTCCTTAGGAGCCCCATTAAAATGTATCTCATTGCATTTTAATATGATTTTTTTTTTTGCAGCTGAAAGAATGTCTTAGCTCAATCAGTTAATTTTATATATAATCTAAGAAACTGACAAAATCTGCTAAGAGTTAGTATTAATGTTATTTACAGGTTGAAAGAGAAATTTGATATAGTCTATCCTTCAGCTAAAAATTTATTTATGACAGTAGTAAGCTTTAATTCTTTTTATTTTGCTTAAATATTAAGAACATTTTCTTGAAAATGTTTTTTTAAATATCGGGTATATTTTTCCCACCTCTAAAATTTAGTCATGATGCCAAAACTGTTTTATTAGAATCTTTTCAAGAAACCAAACCTGCATTTTAATTTATTTTGAAAATTAAAATTGAACAATCTTTGACTTTTTTTCCCAATAATGTTAATGGCATGCTTAAGTTTTAGTTGTTGGATGCCCCACGCTACATGATATTCCACTTTTCACCTACAACTTGTTCTACCTTTTCCAACTCTATTCTTAATTTTTCCTTTTGTTATCTGTTACACTCACAGGTCTTCTACTTCAATGCTTACCCACATTCTCCAATATAAATTCCTGTTGAGTTTTTTTATCCACTCATAACAACAAACAAAAGCAATAAAATGATTTTTGAGGATCATTATATTAAATGATTTTTTTAAGTTTGTAGAATGTTGTAACTTTGCTGTTATATGGCATAAAAAACATGGTCGATTTACTCAAATTAACTGATATCTTCTTTCAGGACATGCCGCAATGGAAGCTTCTGTTGCCAATCTTCTCGAACCAGGGGATGTTGCTTTGATTTGCCAAAATGGCATTTGGGGTCAAAGGTTAGCAGACATGGTAGAAAGGAATGGTAATTTTTTTTGTTTTCATACATATAAAACATAATATATGTGGCATTTTTTATGGTCTGTCTAGTTTATCTCTTCTCATGACATATGAGACATTTTCTGCCTTTTATCATTAACACACACAAAGGTGTGTGATATATATATATATATATATGCCTATCATCAGTCTGTAGTGTCCTTGATGAGGCAAAGACAAGGATCTCTCTCCATTTTGATCAGGCTGTGCCCACCCTATCAATATCACTCTGTGCCATTCCCATCAACTCAGTCTCACTGCTTTAGGCTCTTCTCACGCCCTCTTGCCCATTATGGGTTCCACATAAGCGACTTCCTGCATGGTGAAGATTTTTCTATAATTTCTTGTCTGTCAAGCTACATATATTAATTCTTGAATAAAACTGGGCTCAGAACTTGATTGCATCAGACGCATTTTCTAAATATATTTGCACATAAGATGGTATTGAATAAACATCAATAATATAAGAGATATTTAACTCAGAATTTCTTCTCCCTAAACTCTGTTGTAGGCTCTGTAGCTCAGAAAATAATCTGTGCATATGGAGAAGTTTTTACGCTTGACACCATTGAAAAGGTAAGTCTAAACCACCTGACCAGCTTCATGAAGTAACTAGAATTATAAATATTATCTTGCTAGAGTGCTAACCGCACCTCTTTCCCCACATTTCCTAATGCTGTCAACTTCTAAATTTGATTATTTTTCTTTCAAATGAATGCAGCAATAAACAGTATAAAAGTTTTTAAAAATCTCAGTTGTAAAATAATATACATTTTCCTATATATATTTTATATTAACTTGAGTGTTGAAATGTGTCCTTTACTAACAGCTGATTGGTAAAGAATATAATCCTATTTACCTCTGTCAAGTGACATCACACTGGTTATTAGTGTGTATATAAATAGATAAACACATAATTCACAGATTTCTAATTATTCCAGAACTTTTATAAGTTTAAAATAAACCTAAGATAGATTTTTCACCATTTAGTTTAACACCATTTTTCACAATTCAATAATATTTTAATTTAAAAAAATTAAAAATCTGTTTGTTTTGGGGAGGTTGGTGGGGGTGGGGGTCAACATAATCTACAAATAAGCTTGTTTTAATAACAAAATGGATTGAACGTTTCTGACTCCAAACTGAAACCATTTATCTGCTCATGGGCCTCTTTTATTTTGTTAAATAGTATTTTTGTGGGGTTTTGCTTTTTTTTACTTCTTACATTTAAAAAAAAAAAAATTACAGGTAGCAATGTGATTTGACATTTGAGAACATTTTTTCCTAGGGTCTCAAGGAACACAAACCCAGTTTGGTATTTGTGACATTTGGAGAATCTTCTGCTGGAACAGCTCAGCCACTAGAGGGGCTCGGTGACCTTTGTCATAAGTAAGTGTCTTGACATTTTACACCATGTTACAGCTGGGTGGCTCAGTCAGCAAGACATGTAACAAGTTGGCTTTTTTTTCCTGTGGCTTTAAATATCAGCATCATTAAACTGTCAACACCAGTGCTCCCTGCAAATGTTGGGTAAGCAGGCTCACTAAGGAAGCTGACAAGAGCATCAGTAGTTACAAGAACTTAGCTATCTTTGCGAATGTTACCATATAAAATTGTAAAGAAAATTTTCAGATAAAAGCAAAATCCAGAAGAAAAAAAAGAGAATAACAGGTTCTAAACTTCATTATGGTAATTGACTCATTGACTATAACTTGCTAAACCTTTTTATCAGGATTATGTTTCTCCTATCCCAGAATCTCCCATGGGATAACCTTTGCAATGCTTAAAATGAAAAATGAGAATTGCATTTAACTTTGTATCAAACATCAACGAACCAGTAATTTGAAATGTGACCAGCCATTTCTTATATGTATTTATTTTCATGGATTGATAATGTATTTGGATTTAATTTTCTCAGATACAATGCCCTTCTCTTGGTAGACTCTGTGGCCATACTGGGTGGTCGGCCCCTGTTTATGGATGCTTGGAGTGAGTTGAGTTATTTCATCATTTGGAGTTTTTCAGCCTTTTTTTTACTTACATCTGCTTCTAATTTCAGTTCACATTTGGTTATATCAGGATTATTGGCCTTGGTTCATTGAAATCGCCTACATAGGGTCTTCCTTTTCATACTGTTTCAGTATGGACCAGATGCACCTGCATCTGACCAGATGCACCTGCATCTTTCATTGAGCTGTCTCTTTTTTTAACCACAAGACAGATTACGCCATTCTACAAATAAACATTTAATAGTTGGTGTAACAGTTTTTAAAAAAAATCCCTATCTTGAACTTAGAGATAAGAAATAATCACTGTAACATTAAAAATAACTTAAGTTACTTAATGAAATAGCAAAACGAGGTATGTGGAAGCTTGAATTGGAGAAAGGACAAAAAGATTAGGACGTTTCAGCATAGAGCCTTCTTCAACTCACAGGACTAAGGAAAATATCACAAAGAAAAGAGCTCAGTAAACAAGTAAAGAAATATCCATTGTTGACGCCGGAAGTGGGAACACAGGAAGCGAGAGAATATAAATATTGACACTTTGAAAAATGAGGTCCACAATTATAATGGACCAGAATATCCAGGGGAAGGTTTACATTGTTCAATATCCCGGAGATGTTCAGTAAACCTATCAGCCAATCTTCTCCCAGTTTCACCTATGTAACTAGATTGGCATCTACGGCACACAATCGTATATATTATATTACGGCTGACGCAGGTGAAATCCTCTTTAATGGTCCTACAGCGGCTTCTTAAGCATGGTTTAGTACCAAAGTAAGACTGTTCAGATCAAAGGCTACTATGAACCAGAAGGTCACCTAGATTTCTGTCCCATCTAAAGACAATCAGTAGAGGGGATGAGAAAACGCAGTTAGTATCAGGGTCAGCAAGAAGTATGCTACAATTTTTTAGGAATATTTTTTTGGCAGTTAAATTGTGAGGGTGGTAGTTAGTATAAGTTTGGTACGATCTTCATTGTTGTTTTGACGAGTTTTGAAAGCCTCATTTCGTGTGATCGTGCTGATGCGATCTAGTGCTAAGACAAGAGTAGTTTCAGGATAGGATCTGGAGTGGAAGAAATCCATCATTTCATCAGCTCTGTCCAGAAATTCCTCATCAATTTGGCAGAGACGCCGTAGTCTACAAAGCTGTGAGAATGGTATAGAGTCTTTGCATGATTTGGGGTAGGAGGATGAGTACAATATTTAACTATGGCTGCCTTTGTGATATTTTCATTTTTTCTGTGAGCTGAAGAAGGCTCTATGCCGAAACATCCTAATCTTTTTGTCCCGTTCTCTAATTCAAGCTTCCACATACCTCGTTTTGCTATTTAATTTACTAGACTTGAATGCAGTCCTTTAATTATTATAATAAAGTTACTTACCTTATTTTAATGAGGGGGTGATTAAAAGGGTCAGTATTCAATGATGCTATTTCCTTGTGTTTTAACATAAAAAATTATGATTTTCACAAAGCTGTAATTACATTAAAATAATAATCTTAGGCTCTTACATCAACAAGGTAACAGGGTTGTAAAAAAAAGTTTGACTCCAGTAGTTCTACAGATATGATTTACGTAACCTCAATTTCTGAGTTGTTTTTTTTTAATTTGAAAACATAATCGTCTGGGGATATAGAGCTAACTTATCTGCTTGCCATGTTCCCTTGATTATTCATTTCTCTGTTTGTCCGCTCACAGATATTGATGTTCTGTACTCTGGGTCACAGAAGGTACTTGGTGCTCCACCAGCCACCAGCCCGATATCTTTTTCCCAGAGAGCAAGGTCTGCAGAATTTTTGGGCAACTTTTAAATTTTGTACTAACAAAGTTATTGTAACAGACTCTTATTTGTTTATTATAATTTTAAAGAACAAAAATATTTTTAACATATGTCAATCACTAATGAAGCAATTACAAGTTAGTCAATGGCTAGTTGGGGCAAATAGAAAAACTATGACATTACTTCAGTGGTTCATTGTAGAGTGGGTAAATGTTAATGCTACATCACTTCAGTGGTGCATTGTAGAGCGGGTGAATGTTAATACTGATTTTCTGATGTTGTTCTTCTGTCAACTTATACAACAGAAGCAATCTGTTATTCAGTTAATGATACTTGAGTTGGTCTCTTATTTCCACTGCCGGCCCGCTAAGCCTTCTTATATTAAGAAGAAATATAATCTTACGCCCAAAATGCCTAGTCACTTTGCCAGCATGTTCCTTCTTTCTCTGTTCATATTCCTCTAGCCATAGTCTTTTTGCCAGACTTTTCCATGTTTCTTTCTCTGCTTTGTTCCTCTGGCCATACTTTAATTTTAGTTATGCTCAGTTTTAATCTTTTTATTACATCCCTCTTATCTTCTGTTAGCACTACTTAGGGCAATAGTAGTCAAGACTTTCACCAGTTTCAGATGATCATTGGACAACATACATTTCTTTGTCCTGCAAAAACTTTATGGCCAGCATGTTGCATTCTAGGAATAAGGACTGACAGAATATTTTTTAGAGGCTCTAAAACATTATTATTAAAATGCTCTTTACTATTAATTTGTGTACTCTATTTTATGTTAGAGATAAGATAGCATCCAGAAAGACAAAGATCAGATCCTACTACTTTGATGCCAATGAACTTGCCAACTACTGGGGTTGTGACAAAGGACCAAGGCGGTGAGTTTAAGCTTTACCTTTAACTTAAACTTTAAGCTTATTGAATCAATAGGATGCTCCTCTCACACTCATGTTGAGATACTTAATCCTTGGTACATTATAAGCTGATAAATTAGTTTCCAACTGTACGTTGTGGATACACTGAAGGAAAAATTTGTCTGCCAATATGGTTTATTTAAGGCCAGGAATTTATTTTAAATTTTCTTATCGCATCATGTCTATATTATATCCTGACTTCAAACAATTGCAGATACCATCACACTGGCATGGTAACAAGTGTCTATGCCTTGCGAGAGGGGCTAGCAAGACTGGCAGAGGAAGTAAGTAATGAAACACTCATGTTTTGTAATGGCAAAATTAACCCTTTACAGTCCTGAAATGCGCCGATTTTTTCCTTAAGCCTACAGTCTGTTGCAGCCAAACCAGCCCGTTTTCGAGGTTGTTTACTTTTGCTCTTAGCACGGCGGAAATCCATTGCGCATTACTATTTATAGTTCTACCGGAAGAAAGCCTCGTTGTCTGCATTTATTGTGATACTAGTTTGACGCGGTGTGCTTAGGGGCTCATTTTTACGATTTTTTTAAAAGTTACGATTTTTTCGCTGTAAAAAAATGGCTTTCCAAGCCTTGGATACAATTTTGAAAGAACTTTTTGAAAGAACTTTGGCCTAATGAAGCTTCACTATTTCATGAGTTTAGCAGGGATAGTGAAGAATCTGATAGAGGCATTAATTTAAATGATGCTACTTGTAATAGTGATTCAAATGAAGAAGATAATAGTATTAGTAGAGACATCGATGACAACGGACCTATCAATCCCAGTCCAACTGATCAGCAAGATCATGAGGGGTCTGGCAATGTGTCACAAATCAAAGTGGGAGGGTCCCTGAAACTTTTTATAGGTTTAACTTTTGCTTAAATCATTTATTTGTATTTAGGTATATTTTATTGTATTTTCTTGCTTTTAGTTTATTTTCTTTAAATTAATTAGATAAAGAACCTCCATTTAAAATGGAGTTATGTCCCTTTGCGTGGGGCGCTTGGCGTAGACAAGGCTGAATAGGCTTGGACTGTAAAGGGTTAAAATATTATATTATGACTCCAATGCCAAGAATACAATATTATTATTATATATCTAGAAACGAGATTTTGCTAAAAATTTGTTAATGTATAAGTAGGCAAGTTTCATTTGTTTTGCTTATTTATTTTTTTTTATTTTGTTGTTGGGGAGGGCGGTTATGTTGGAGAGTATAGCAAGGAAGATTCTACATTGATATTAAAAATACATTTTTTTAATGTGTAAATATTGACAATACAATTTAGTACATGCATAAGTAAAGTGGAGGTCTTTGGACCAAATGTGAATTTTGAAGATTGTAAGAATCTAAATGAAGACAGCTTATTAAATTATGTCACTAAATAGTCTAGGGCAATGTTTACTGAAAAAATATGTTGTCTGTTCCTGTGACTGCTAGCCAAAAGAAAATCTCAGATAAACTGGGCATTGTTTATTTGAATTCTGATAAATGTATCTCTGAAATGTTGCAGTAATACAAACCTATGGAGCGATTTAAAAAAATGTTTGTATTATTGTAATCATTATGGCCAAGAGAAAAGTTTGCATTGAAAAAAAACAACTCATCTAAATCTCAAATATCTTTCAGACTACCTAGTTTTTATTCATTAATTTTAAGCTTGGATTTTTGCTAATATCATATAGTCTTCTTATTTCTACTCATCAGGGTTTGGAGAAATCTTGGGCGGATCACAAAGCTTGTTCTGAGCTGTTGTACACAGGTTTAGAAAAGTTGGGCTTGGAGCTGCTTGTTAAGGAGCCGGTACGAAATCTTGCATAAATATTTTAAAATCCTCATATTTATTAAAAAATCAACTTTTATTTATTGTTTTTTTTGTGTATGTCTTGTGTTGACTTTTTCATACCCTTTCCTGTATCCCAAGAATTTTTTTATCATGTTTATGGGAAAAGGCAGGGTGGGGAAGGGGGTTGTCTACAAGGAAAAGTTATAAGAATGACTTTAAGAATGTTTATTCCAATAAATTTTAGGAGCTAAGAAATCCCTGTGTCACAACAATTAAAGTCCCTGAGGGTGTCAATTGGAAAGATGTCACAGATTATGCAATGAAGAAGTAAGTTGTCCAGAAATCAACACTCACTTATTAAAAACTGCTCTTAGTCTTATCATGTCGGTTATCTTTGACTCTGCTGCGTCACATTTGCTTCAACATTTGACCAGTGGAGTCAGACAGCTTCTGGTCACTGTCCAATAAAATATAAATTGATCATGTTGCATATTTAAATGATTTGAGAAAAACCCTCCCAGACTCCAGCCAAAACTGGTTGTTCTTCAAAAATTAAAAATCAGCCCTGTGATTTTTTAATTCCGCAAATCAAACATTTCAGCTGTGTAATTCTTAAGCTTTAATTCTAAGTCTTCAGATCTGTAATTGTTATGTAACTTACAAGCCTGCAACAGAGAAGTGTTACTACTTGGTGTTTAAAAAATTGGCTGCGTATAGTTAATATTATGACCCAAGGTTTCAATTAAATTTCTCATAGTTGGACAAAAATAAGTTGGAGTTTCTTAATTAAAACTTTCTTTCAAAAAATTTTCAGTTATCGTGTAGAGATTGCCGGTGGTCTGGGAGATCTTGCAGGAAAAGTCTGGCGCATCGGCATCATGGGTTATAACTGCCGACCTGAAAATGTTAACTTGGTGCTCAAAGTTTTGGGTGAAGCGTTAGAAAGCTTACGGAAGTAAGAGTGTAGGCTGTGTAAAATTATTGTCTACAATGTCTGTTAGGATGTCGATTGTATTGATTTAGAATTGATTTTCAGCATTTTAAATAAAGATCCCTTACAAAAATACCAGAAATATCAGGGTTCTAAGAAATTAATTTTTAAAAACATGTACTATGCAAGTCATAATGGAAATGTGCAGTGCCATTATTCATTTGTTGCATTTTTGTGCAAAAGACAACAAAGATTTTTAAGAGTCACATAGTTAATTATTATTCCAGCCTATTACATTAGGAAGAGTTTTTTTTATTTTTGATGATTTTCAGATGATATAATGTTGATATGAAATCTCCAATTCCACTTTACCCGGTAAATAAATTTCAAAACTTATTTTCTGTATATACAATTTACTGACATGAGCTTTGACTTATATTTTTCAATAAAATTCTTTATTTTTTAAATGCTTGTGGGCTTAAAGAACTATTTGCATTTGAAAAAAAATGATACTAATTTTTAATCTTCAAAATGGTCATATTTTCATCCTCATTTATTTCATAGCTGTTTTCCTATGTCAAATGAGGACCAGGGTAAAACAGTAGGGTTCATGTAATTTTATTTATTGTGAGCAGTTTGTTATGCAGTTTTGGGTGCCAATGATGTTATGAGGAATGTGATACCAGTGATAAAAAAATGTTTCCTGTTAACTATTGCGTAATTGTATTAGCACCTATGGCCAATGGCCAAAAACCGCTGCCCTGCACAAAACTGGTGTGGGTAAACACTTTAAACGGGTTCCTGAATGAGTCCAGCATTGACAAGGTCTGGTCTCGAATCTTAGGATTATTTTTGTAATATTTCAAGAGATCCAGGACCCAGTTCAGTTGCATGATGTTAAATATAAAGCGAACAATTTTATACACTGCTGTATTGCCGATTCTTAATTGATAATTGCAATGATTAAATGGAAATATGCTTTCCTCTTCAAAATTTCATTGATGTAATTCTGTGATATCGGGATAAATTACATGTTTGTTACAGGTACTGGCTGTTTAAAAAGTGTACCAATAAAGTTCCTATAATCAGATACTTAATTATTTTCATTTCTTCATTTCATTACACGGAGGTTATTTGGATTAAATGACATCTTAAAATACTTAAATATCTATATCTTACTTTTAGGGTTGGATGACCTACTTTCAAAATATCCAGCTAAAAATCACCAGCAAAACAAAAAAAATATTGTTTTAGTTGATGATGCATAGTTTAGACTTATTAAAGTCTCGGGTACCTGGTAACCCTTTTTATTACAGCGACCCTCTGTATTTGTCATTAATCCTTTCCCCAGGGAAGCATGAACATCAAAATGGACAAATATCAAATTTTCCCCATAGGATTAACAAAAAATGGTTTAATCTGTTCCTAGCCCTGAATTTAGTCTATCTATGGCCGGCGTCGACCTCGCGGCACAAAACTGACAACAAATTAACCAAAAAATTAAATATAAAAAAACAAACCAGGTTCCAGAACACAACGGTCACTTATTTCGTTTTTAAAAAACTGCTGCGAAAACCCTCAAATATTGAAAAGAGATTCAGTACCAATAGTAAACAAGAGTTGATGGGCACAGTTTGAATCACCATCTGAGACTGACTAACGTAGAAAATAAAAATAGAAAAAATACACGAAAAACAACTTGGAATAATAATGAGGGTCAATTGTATAAGGATTAGCTGCAGTCTAGTGTAATGTTTTATAATAATGAAAAGATTTATGACAGAAAAATGTTTATAAGATTTAGTTAGTAGTAAACTGATCCCTTTTTAATGTTACCAGGAAATTGAAGGAAGTTAGTTCAAAGGAAATTTTGTTCAAAATTAAATAATATGGACAAAAAATTAATTTAAAGTTTACATTTTCCCCACTTGTCACTTGCACCTTCCCATAAAACATTTTAAATAAACAACTAAATCTCCATTTAAAAAATTTCATTTCCAACAAATTTCCAGAAATACTTTTTAAACACACCAGCCATGTATTAAGTCATGGTTATCTTGAGCTTGAAGCATATAACCATCGATATAAATAGAAAAAAAATAAATATATATATTATTTATATATGTGAAGAAAATTGAGCTAGCTACGTTCTGATAAAGCGATCACAATGTAAACAAAGCCAAGAGATGTATACAATTTACTTTATTACAATCTGTCATTGTCTGAAGTGGCAGTATTGAACATGTTTTGAGAACTATCCATTGTGGAAAATCAAATATTTTTTTTAAAAAGAACATCACATGTAACGGAATAATGCACAGTTTAATAAGAAACCTACATTTGTCTTTCTTTTAAATGCACTCACTCATACAACTTCTAACAGAATTATAAATCAATGAAAATACTAAAAAAAAGGTTTTTAAAAATGATTCTCTTGTCTCAAGTCAACATCACAACTTTTCTTACAACATGAAATCCAGAATACCAAACATTTCTACTGATTCAAAGAGGTAATTTTAACATTGAGTCTTAAGAAACAATGCAACTTTTTTTAAGTCAACATAATATGATTAACTGATGTAAACTTTTTGTTTTTGTTTAACCATCTGTGTTGTGGGCCTAACTACAAATAAATTGCTTTAGTATCTGTCCACAACTTACATAAAAAAATCTCTGCACACATAAAAAAACTTTCAAATAAGATCACTAGATTAAAAGTGTTGAGTTTGGTTTATTTAACATATTTTATCATGTAAAAAAAAATGTGTCAAGTGTAAAATTTCACAAGCCTAGTATTGTTCATTTTCTTCTCTTGGTTACAAGGGTATCTGCTGCATTGTCAAAGCTCTCTTCACCAATATTCATCATCAAGGAGGATGCATTAAGGTAGACTCTGTTCTGAGACTGTGCAATCTAATGAGGGAAACAATATGACTATAAGTATTCACCTACATAAATAGAGAAAATTGGTCATTCATATGCAGGGTCAGATAGGTTTGTACAATAAATTATAAGAAATCATTCACTGCACTTCCAATTTTCACAATAGATTTTTTCAAATATTTCAATGAGCTATTGATTGAATAGAAATACAGTAGCAAGAACCGATAACAATAGATAATTTATAATACTTACTGTTCTGGCAATGTTCTGAGCTGCCCTGATCTTTCTTAGTTTGAGATAACCTGGATTCATGCTCATGGCTTCACCTATCAGTCGCGCAGCCTCAGCCTCTCCCTCCGCCTGAACCACTTTCTGCTGCTTCTCTTGGATGGCCCTTTCCACCAGAAACTGAGCTCTCTGGGCATCTTGTTGGGCAATCTAGAGAAAACCCACACAAATATTAACATTCTCAGACCTGTTTACCCTCAAACTCTTAAAATCGTACATCATCACAAAATCGTTAAATACATTATCTTAATGGTAACAAAATAAACATACAGTATATAAATATAATGTATACACCTCAAAATCGTACATTGTACGGTAAAATCGTAAGAATAAACAGGTCTGCATTCTACAAATGTAGCTAATACAACACTCTTTCAAAAACATATCTAATCTAATAATTATTTTATACAATGAGAAATATGTTGTAGGCTACTAAGAATCTTGAGGATAGCCAAATTTCTGAGCTGGCTTTTAGTGAGAGAGAGAGAGAGAGTGCATCCTCTCTAAACTCTAAATCATAATCCTTTGTTTTGACCTTATAAGAAATGACCCAACAGAACCTGGTCTTTTCAAAATGCAACCTACATGAGACTTATGCATTAGCATATTATATTACCATGGAAGTTCATTTTTGGCTTTAGACAAATCTTTTAAAGTTTTCAGATTCAGCAAGAAAACTGCTATTAAAGAAACAGAAAAATTACTAGAGCTTTGAGGGAAAACTATAAGTTGTTCGGTTGCTCCATTCCACATTCTGCCCTCAACTTCTTTCTCCAGTGTAACGCTCCAAACTCGTTAGCTGTGCTTAAAAATACTTTATTTCATATTATTCTTCACCAGACATTGCCATTAGCAGCTCATAATTCAAAAATTCTCACCTAACACTATTTGCTAACATTTTGCAAAGTCTCACCTGCTTAGATTCAACAGCATTGGAATATTCTTTCCCAAAGCTCAGCTCTGTAATGGACACATCATCAAGGATAATGTGAAAATCTTTGGCTCTCTGGGTTAGCTCACGTCTAATCAGCAGGGACACTTGCTGACGCTGTGTGATGAGTTGTGATGCATTGAATTTAGCAACAACACTCTTTAGTACCTGGAGACAAAAAAAATGACAGCATTTGAATATGCAAAATCTTTTGGTCACTGTACAAAAACTAATTTTATCAATGAATATAATTTGTGCAATTATATACATCTGCAAAACACAGTGAAATCTTCAATTAAAATATATTAAATTGAAAAAGAAAAGAAAGACTTTTTTTTAGAAGATAATAGTGTACTAATAAGTAAAAAATTATTTTCTTTAAAGGAGAGTAAGCCACTTTATGAAACCAAAGGATGCTAAAAAAGTTTAGAAGAAACTTAAATTTGTTTTGTTTTTTTAAAATTATAAATTTGGAAAATATTTTCTGCAGTTTCATTGCATAATGAATTTTAAGGGGAAAAAAATATACTTTTTGGTGCACTTAAACTCATCTTCAAAAGAAAGTCTTTTTCAAAAGTTAAAAATATTGTATTTTCTATTTTTACTTTTAGCATGAAATTTAATCTGTAAATCACCACAAAATTTATTTTTTTTAAACAACGGATGCTTGCAAAATGTAAGCATCCATACAAATCTCCTATTCTTATTTCCCCATCATTCATCTCCCCACCTCACCCCTTCCCTCGACCCAGCATACTAGAACTGTAACTGGGTGTCAAAAAACCATTTAAGTTTGGTTTATGTTTGAAAGGGATGAAAGACTTAGAATTGGTATTCTCGTATGTAGTTTTTGTAATGTTGCGTTTTGTATTTCAATGTTGTATAATCTATATTTTTTCATTTCTCTTTTGATATGTACAGCACTCCGAGCCTTTGGGGATGAAGCGTGATTTTCAAATAAACTTTATCATTATTATTATAAATGAGGGCAACCTTTCAGGTCAGCATGAGGAATACTCAATCGAATGATTGAACGTGTCATCACAAAAAAATAACAGTTCACAAAATGGAAATGCAAGTAAAGAGAAAATCTTTAAAAAAAGAGAGAAACTGAGTTGGGATGCTCACTTCATTGCAGATTGAAGGTAGGACTCTTTCGTCAAAATCTGTACCAAGCTGTCTGTAGATCTGCGGGAGTGCTATGGCGTTAGGCCTGGACAGCACTCTTAGGGAGATGTTTACCATTTGCAGATCTGTTAATAAGATAGACATGATCAGATAATGAGAGCAATAATCTTCATATACATGGCAGACTGTGGCAATTCCATATGTTTAGGACAGAAGCTCCATTTAACATTCAAATTGTCTGATACCAACAAAATTTAGGGCTGTCAAAAGAGTCTAAATTAAACAAAATTTGGAATTGTCAAATCTTCTCCATTCTCCTCAGTGATCAGCAAATCAACTTTGTGTGTTTTACTTCCTTATACTCTTCCAACTTATTTGTTTGCGTGGAAAAAGTGGTAATCTTATAATTTTTACTTTTTATGCACAAAGTTTTTTTTTGGTTTTTTTTTTATCTCTTACAAGTCTTTGAGTTAAAGTTAAATTATGGAAATTAAGTCCTTAATTATTAATTAAAATATATCTTTTTGGGATATATGAACTTTTAATGTAACAATATGTTTCTTACTATGTGACTAACTAGTTACCTTTGCTCCCTGTTGGAGAAGATATTTTGTGTGGTCTTGATCTTATATCATAAATTATTGGATACTGGAACCAGGGGATCCTGAAAATGATTTAACATTTTTTAAAAAGACATTTCGGTTGACCGACAGTCAAATGCATTAAACATCTCATTTTAAATAAAGACCCCAAAAAATAAATTGACAAAATTTGTTAAGGAAATATAGAGCCGTCATTGGTAAAAATTAAGCAGATGCATTTAAAAAATAACCCCGCAGAGAATCTTATGTGTGATTCAATTCTACTGGTGTCAAAGGCTGAAGTATTTAATGGTAAAGATGACACTAGTTGCTTTTCTTTAAAAAATGCTTGCAAATTCCAATTATTTCTAAAAACAATTTTGGTAACAGATACGTTACTTATTTGTCTTCAAGATGGGAAATACTTTAATTATACTGATATGGTAAAGAAACAATAACAATTTACAGTGATCCTTTGACTATAGGGGGGTTGGGCTCCAGGACCCCCCCCCCCGACGAAAATCTGCGAAGTAGCAATCTTATAATTAACTTGTTGTTTTTTTAGTAAATATTCTTTTAATATGTTTTCATTAAGATTTTTATATATCTTTTATATTGTTTAAAATCTTTAAGGCTAGAAAAACCTTATTTTACTGCAAAAATAATTAAAACAATAAATATATACAAAAAAAAATATATATATATACTGGTACAGTAAAATCCTGAGATATAATAAACAAGTAAAAAATCCATAATACAGGGAGACAGCAAAAAGTTAACCCTCGGTAGGCAAGGGATCACTGTATATCAATATGATGTTTTCTTTTATTAAAAAAGGAGAACTTAAGAATATACATAAGTATTTACACAAATTTGCTATCAAAATACAACACAAATTTTTACTGATAAAATTAGTTATTATCAACATATAAGAGCCGTAGTACAGTACCTAAAATGGAGACCTTCAACGTATATATCAGGCTTCACACCAGACAGCCTACTAAAGATAATAGCTCTGTGACCACCATCAACTGCAAGATAGAGAGGAGAATATCAATCACTTGTAATAATAATTAGAAGAAATAAACAGGTTTTCCCAAGGATAGAGAAATTAATAAAAACTATACACATTCTGCATTTTAATAGTTTTCCAATCCAAAATATTTTAAAAGAAGCTGATATCTGTGAATAAAATGTGATATATATGCTACAAATATTGTAGGCTAACCTGTATAAAATGACTGACTTAGTCCATAAATGCTTCCAGCTAATGCAGCAATCCCAAACCCAGCACCTATTCCCCTGGGCCCGGCTTTCTTCAATCTACCAGCAAAGTCTGCTGCTTTCTTTGGGTCCATTGTTCAAAGATTAAGGATCTGTAAATTTAAATTAAAGGCTGAAATTTATCGTTAAGTGATAGGTAAATAAAGCAAGGTAAAATGCATTATCCAAGGAAGGCTACAAACTCTATTACATATGCTAGCACTCTATTGCGATATGGCTGAAATTAAGGATTCAGGTGGTTAAATATTTCAAGCAGCTTTTCCTGGCAACAAGATGGCAGAGGTTCTGAAAAATTTTGTACTTTTAAAATAAAAAACTGTGATCGATGTGAATGGCAAGCACAAATTTAACACAAAATCACCTATGATGCATGTGTTAACTTTGTTCTCTAGGCTATAGAATATTCAGTGGTGCAACAGTGGATATTGTTGATGATGCTGTAACGCTCGAGTATGGTATACCATACATGTAATTACATTCAGTACCAGAAAAGATGGATTGTAAAGATGGTTTTAGGGAAATTGGGGTCTAAGCTAAGTTCCAGTTGCAAAATGATAGCTAAGTTCCAGTTGCAAAATGATGACTAACACCTGAAAATGAATTAGTCCTAGACTTGGGTACGCTGGAACTCCAAAAATAGTAATATTGTTTCAGAACAGCAGTTTACCAATTCAAAATTGTACAATAGCCCATCAAAATAGTAAATAAATAGACATACAGTATGATGTATCCAGTGCTAGGAAGGTGCTACTTTTTCTATATATGGAGGGGGTGGCATTTTTTGGACAACTGCAGTTTATTAATTATTATTGGGCTGCCCCGGGTGGCACTAACCTAGCTTCGCCACTGAAAGTATTGAATAACTATTCGGTAACTAAAGGTTAATTTTCTTAAAGTAGATGACTGGCAAAGATGAGGGTGGGGAGTTGGAAGTAAAGGACCCCCCCCCCCCTCCCACCAGGTCACCCTGATAAATGTGGGGTGGAGTTTAAGGAGGGGGCTGAGTGCTCTACAGAGATTTTTTTTAAAACTCAAAATGCAGGTATGCACTTAGATGTTTACCTCAATTTAGTTTTCCATCATTCTACATGGAAAACTGAAGAAACGCTTGTGGAAAATTAGGTTTCCTTTACTTAGCTGTTTTTATATAAATCCTTTAATTTTAGTTTTGTTACTAAATAATAAAATTGTTTACCAATTTTAAATTTTAATTAAGATTACTTCTTTCAATCTCATTTTTTAAATCAGTCCAAAAAGAGAGGAAATGGTGCATGCATACATTCACAGAAAAGTGATATCATAAATGTGCATTTATGCCAAGAATGAAATAATCGCTAATGGAATAAAGAAACAAGTTTATTTGCAACATATCCAGCAGGCTGCATTATTTGACATGACGGGCCATGTGTAGGCAACCCTTAAATTAAGTCTAGAAGCTTTATTTGCAGTAAACAGTAAACGTATTGTAGTCTTATAACTACTGCTGTATTGGGAGAAGGGAGGAGGAGTTTTGGAACCAAAATGGGGTATTTAAATTGAACAGCTGCTTTCTAGGTTTTTATTTAAAAAATTTCAAATCTAACCCTGCTGAAAGGAGCATTTGAAAATGTATTTTAAAAATAAATAAATCTGTGTATTCTCAGTTTGCAATTCCACCTCCCCAGATATAATTCAATCTCTTATTTTTATTTTGAAAGTGAATGGAAGGGTCTCCCGTGCCCAGAAAATTATTTTGTAATCTCCAGTGCAATAGTGACATGACAATACTGATAGAAATAAAATTGAATAGCAAATTGCCACTTCATTTTTCAAACAAACAAAAGACAGAACTTTGAACAATTTGCACATCATTTTCCAGTATTCATCTAGGGGTATCAGCAAAAACACTGAGTTTATTTTTCAAAATTTCTTTTGAACCTTGTAAGTTGAATTATAATAAATCTGAATGGACATTTTCGTTTTAATATATTGCATATTAACTGTATAGATGGTTACATAAATATTGAGTTTATCAAGCGAATAATGCTCATTGACAATTAAGGACCAGGGAAGTTATCAAACACATCATTCAGGTCCAAATGTTGGTTCTGTCACCCTAAGTCACTAAGTCCAGTGTTGGGATCCTCCAAAAGTGATGTCAATGTGCATAGGGTAAAGACAACTCAAGGCAAATACATTGCTGGTAACTACACTTTTACAAAACAATTTACTAGAATTCAGAGTCTGACTTCACTATCAAAGATGAAATAAAATTAATTAATTAAAGTTAAAGTTTAGTTGGTGTGGACACTGGAGACCAGCCAAATTTTTCAAAGTCAAATCAATTTTTATTGCTTTGACTTTAATTTTTTAAAATAATTTATAGGCCTAGTTATACTTATAGTGTCACTTCTTACTCCTAATCCTAGTATTTAAAAAGTGCAGTGATACTTCTACTTCTATTATTTTCAGGACTTCAATTGTCAGTATCATTCATTCAGACCATTCAGTTTCAGTATGATGCACATTGCACATCATTCTCATTCACTGTTGATTTTGCTGTGCTGATTGCATTCATTGCCCTACAGTGGCAATAAATTTCAATAGATAAATAGGGCCTACCTGCCAGACTATATTATCAACAGAATCAACCTATAATATGGGCTATGAATACTCTTCTTACTTCTTACTCTGTAGTGTAACTGCACATAGGCATAGGCCTAGGCCTAGGCCTAAGCCTCAGAAAATAATAGTTGCTGCAAGAGTTGGGTCAGTGGTGATAAGTACCCCAAAAATATATTTTTTCAAGTTATAGGTTTTAAGTAACTAACAAATACGATTAAATGATGGGCTACCAGACCAATAGATGCAATAATACTGTAAATTATGATAAATAATACTTACAATAGTATTCCACTCAATCACAAGAATGAGTTGCATGTGCTATCTAAACCAGTAAAAGGTCAAATCGGCGGAAGTGAGTTAACTCTTTTGTGACTGAAACTATACTTAACTATGACAAGATAGAGAATTTTAAATGATGAAATGCGCTCATTCAATATTCGGAAAGCATAATTTTGGCTTAATTTGATTATATTGTAGGTGATGTAGCTTGCAAATTTTCCCTAAATCCAGAGACATTAAATCCCACATCATTATTGTCAAACCTTCGAGTCCGCCCATGTAGTAGACAGGCTGTGCCGGGGGGGGGGGGGGGGGGGNATAAGAGATGTTTAAATTTCTGTTGCGCTGGATGAATCCTGACCGATGTCACTTATTAGTTTCTAATTTCCATAGTCTAGTGTGTTTTAAACTGATTTTAATTAATTGAAACATTATTATTTAAAAGAAGTTTGACGGACTTTGGATTTGGGTTGAAAAAAAAGTGGGGGGAGGAGCTGATTCCGATATTTTTTTATTATTTTTTTTTTTACAGACTGTGACGGGGGGGGTGGGGGTTAAAAATTGTTTTAAAAAAATAGTGTCACATTCTCTATAGACGGCTCCCTCCATAAGAAAAATGTATTGAGTATGCCCTAGCCCTAATGATTTGGCGTTAATTTGTGAATAGGCTACGTTATGTCATCTGATGTTAAAATTGTTTGCGGGTAGGTACAGAAATTAAACTTTGATCTTAGCCAAAACGTAGAGATGCGATTGAGTTCTTTTGGGCTAATTCAGCCAACCACTGTTTCTGATTCTGATAGGGTACGTTGCTGAATCCTTGTACTGGTATATGTACAACGGTTTGGGAAACGATGCGACTATCCCAGGGGTCGGCAACCTTTTGAGACGGAAGAGCCAAAAGTTCCAATTTACAACATTTTTAAAGAGCCACTAACATTTTTTTCAATATCATTATTAATATTTGCGCATGGAACTGGAGGGCCGCATCTTGACATCAAAAGAGCCGCACGCGGCTCGCGAGCCGCAGGTTGCCGACCCCTGGGCTATCCTAACGGCTCCTAGCGGGTGCCAGGGCAGCCTTGAAACTCTCGATTGATGTTGAGTCCACGGCGGCATTTTCCAGTTGGTTCCAAGCAATTATTGTTCGTGGAAAAAATGATTTTTTATATTTAATACCGTATTGGACTGCGTTACACCGAGGCACAGTGTAGTGTTGATCATGTTCTTTTTCGGTCGTTTTAAAATCACAGTTAAAAGATGAGAACTTCGGGGTTTCTATCTATGACGACCTGCTACGATTAAATCGCTTAGTGTCCAATTAAAATTATTTTTCTTTTAAATGTTGTTTTATTCGGTACAGTTTATTTAATGGTAATATTCACTTAAATATTCAAGAACAGTGAATTAAACATATGCAATATAGCTTTTATTTTAAAATCACATGTAATATGTTGTTTCATGTTAGACAGACACATATAATATATTGAAAGAGAGATGCCTACTGGAAGCGAAGGGAAAATGGAAGTCCCGCCGAATAAGAAGCATATTTTATTGCTATTCTATCACCATACAAGTTTTAAATTTCGTGAAAACACCATCGCCTATTTCTAGGTTCTCTAGAAACAATAATCTGTTAAAATACTAAGAGATATAAATTATAATATCAATCAATTTTTTTTTAAAAAGAGAAATAATTATTATTTCTAGTTTATTTGTTGTTTTTTTCCCATATTGGCCCATATCAAATTATCTTTAATTTTTGTTCAGTTTTGTTATTTAGTCAAACTCTGCATTAGCAACGCTGTCAACAAAAGCAATGGTCAAATGATCGACATTTTAGTTTTAACAGCTCGTTCATAATCATTCACATCTCCTGGACTCTTTTTTTAATTGCTGTTTGAAAAACAGACCATTAACGTTACAAATATAATTAATGAACATTCTCATCATGGATATAAATCCTTTGGCAAATCCTAAAGGGAGTAAATTAGTCTGTGAAATCTGCCAGTTGCCAGCCTTTGTGCAGTGTAAACACTGCAAACTCACATATTATTGGTAAAAAAAATAATAGTGTTACAGCGTTTTCAACTAAAAGAATTGAAAGAATAGAGTGTGACAGTTATTTTTTAAAATATTTTTTATTGCTAAAATAAATATTTATATTATAAACCTAGCCTAAATTATGCATGCCATGGTTGGGGATGTAGGCCTAATGCTATAAGTATAAGGCTATACTATATTATAGCAATCATGATCTTCAGATCTAGATATTTAATTTTTATTGTGTTATCTGTGCGTACATTTATACAAACAGACAGTAATACTACTTTAGGGGGCAGTGTGTATGTATGCCACAAACCAAAGCTTAAGACAAGCCAGGGAATTTGACTCAGGGTTTGAGTTTGGGTAAAACAAGAGCATCGCAAACTGTTTCCCTTCCACATCCTGCTAGCCATAAGCATATTGGGATACAAACTGTTTCCCTTCCACATCCTGTTAGTCATAAGCATATTGGGATACAAACTGTTTCATTTCCACAGCCTGCTAGTCATAAGCATATTGAGATAAAAACTGTTTCCTTTCCACAGCCTGCTAGTCATAAGCATATTGGATACAAACTGTTTCCTTTCCACAGCCTACTAGTCATAAGCATATTGGATACAAACTGTTTCCTTTCCACAGCCTACTAGTCATAAGCATATTGAGATACAAACTGTTTTCTTTCCACAGCCTGCTAGTCATAAGCATATTGGGATAAGAACTCGTTAGGTGTGCTTTTTTGATAAATTCAAAAACTAATTTCTCTAACTACCTTAGTGATTTGTGCTATAAAGTATATATTTTTGGAAAGGGGATTATATTCTCCACCTCCAAATCTTAGTACATTTGCATGTAGATGAAATTTGAATATTAAAATTATTAAGCAATTAAGTGTGTTTTCACATTCATTCATGGGTGGTCCCAACCCCTTCTATATCCTATATCTCCCAGACAATTTAAAATATTTAAATAAAAAATTGTATCCCAAAGAGACGATACTAAACTTGAACAAATACATTTAATTCTTCAGGGTTTTGATTTTTTTTTCGGCTTGGAGTGTCTTAAGATTGTAAATTTTACCAAAACTTCCTGGTAGTGGACAATGTCTGTTGGTTACATATATTAGGCAGTGTTTTAATCACTCGATAGTTCTGTCAGTTTAAACATACAGTCATATGCTGAGTTATTAAATTGAATTAGGAACCGGTGTGTATATGAGCATAATACTAATTGTTATATCATTCTGGTTACACATACTGCATTGCACTTATGAGCCAACAGTATCCAACCAGCAAATCTACTTTAAATCATTGTTGTAACTATCCTGCCATATGTGCATCTTACATAGACACCACACTCGGGGAACATTACAATAGTAATCTCTAGACCTGTGTGTTGACCTTCAAATCTCACAATGATTCTGAATGTAAGACTGTGTATTTGCTACAAATTAAACACTGCCACATGATTTCTTTTATAATAAAACATTATTAAAATAATTATTTCAATTGCCATTTTTGTAACATGTACTGTAACAGTAGCTATTTAATTTGTGTGTGTTTCAACAGTTCTCTTGAGCATCAAAAGGCTGACTGGATAGGAATCCATGAAAAAATATGTGACAAATTGGCATTTCTAAGACAAGCCACACCATTTTTACCCTCCAAGGAGGAAAGAGATAAGAGGCAAAGTCAAGTACAGTCAATGAAGGTACAATATTTTTTATTTAAATAGCATATACCCATTTTATTGCAGCTTTGCCCTGATGTAGCAGATGTTCATTATCTCATTTTGAAGCTTGTTATGAAAAAATTTATCTCTCAATCACATTGTTTTTTATATTAATTCTGTTAATCACGCCATTCTTTCTTAGCTTTACTTTCACAAAACTCTTCATGTTGTGCTAGAACAAATTTGAAAAAAAATATTATAAGGGGTTCACCATCACTGGCAATTTCAATACATTAAATTCTATTCTACAATTTTAGATTTATGGCACTAATCCTATGCTTTTAATATTTGATTTTTGTTTTCAGATTGATCTGATTGAAATGTCAAGGACATTGGCTCAGAAAATGTTGTTTGAAGGAAAACATGAGCTGTCAGTGCCAGCAGCCATGCAGTCTCTTAGGTACTCCATAGAAGTTTATGGGGTTGCCACTATAGAACTTGTCCCATCTTACCTTGTATTGGGAGAAGCTTGTGTTGGTAAGTTTCAAATCCTCCCTTTAGCACTTTTGGCCAGAATTAACTTGTAAATAATTTGAATCAGAAATGTTTTGACATTTAATCAGTGTGAACCCAGAAGAGCCAGATAAAACATTTATCTTAAATCTAAAAAAAAAAATCCATTTGTTCTTTACCTGCTAAAGCTTTTTCTTATATGTTCAGAAGCTGCTGAAATCTCAATTAGGAAATATCTTCCGAAAAGCCAGTACACCCCACTGTCTTTCATCCCCCAACAACTGGAAACAAAACAAATATAACATCCATCCTCCTGAAAAATGCATGCATTTCATGAAGTAAAACTGCATCATATGTAATGTAACAACTGATTTTATTATACAACACAAACATTTATGTATCTAGCCTTAACAAAAGGATTTATGTCAATAAACATGTATTTTATTCTACAACACAGACCTTAATAAGCTAGCTCTAACAAAATGAATTTTTTGTTGCCAGGATTAGGCAAGTTGACAGAGGCTGAGGACTACTTAGCTAAGGCCCAGTGGACAGTTCTGAAGACAACAGACTGTCCAAGGGCTATCAAGTCTAAATTGAACAGAAACTTGGGTCTTCTTTATGCTGCCAAAGGAGACTTCCAAGAATCTCTGGTTAACTTTGCTGATGATGTATGTGTCTTAAAGCATTAATACCTATTGCATCAATTTGGGGGAGGGGGGGTGTTAAATGAAAAAAAAAAATAAGTGGGGAGCAAAGCCATTTTCATTGAACATCATTTTGCAAGAATAAAATAGGCAAAGGGAATTATTTTAAAAAAAATCATATGCACAGTCCATCCAAGGGGGGACAAATGTGCTTCCATTGAAGCCAACTTCAAATAAATAAATGTTTAAAGTTGCTAAGAAAGTTCCTAAAATTCTTTCAATATCACATATATATTTAAGCGGTTATAAAAAAAAATGAATCTTCCAATCAAAATTAAAACACTTGGCATTAGATATTCTCAGAATAAAAATTTCTTGTAAGATATTTTGCTGGCAAGATAAATTCAGGTGTTTTTAACTTTCTGTCTAGATTTATCATGCGTCTGAAGAGTTTGGCACGGACAGCATACGTACATCAGGAGGATACTTCCACATGGCCAATGTTTTCTTTAGACAGGGAAAAATGGAAGTGGCAGATTCTCTTTATAGGCAGGTAGGAGGTTGCCCAAACTGTTTTCTCATGAGTGAAATGACATGTAGCATTATTCAATCATATTTTACTACTTTAAAAAATCAGGTTATCACCAAATGCGGATTTCTTTTTTGGAAAATGATTTTAAGGACCTTCAATTTTTTGCCATGAAACTGAGAGAATTTATGCAAGCTACATTAACTTGTTTAGAAATTAATAATACAAATTATTTCTCTGCAGCCTCACTCTTGAAGTAGTAGCAGATATAAAGTTTGTGTGTAAAAAAAAAAAGTGTGTGGGGGGGGGTGTCACAAATCAGATTATCCCTTCATGTTTTGTTGTTTTAAAAGCTGGTAAAAAGTCCATTTGAATGATTAAAATAACAAAGAGACAGACAATTACTGAAGGGATAGAGAAATGATGTACAGTTTTTAAAACATCCTAAGAAGAGGGACACATTGTGTAACGATTAAAACAGTCTGTTAAAAATGTTTAACATATGTTGATCTCTTCTTTTAAATCATTGCTCTTTAAAACACATCTGTTGCGGTTTATAACACAGTCCCAATCCACAAGTGGTTAGCAATTAAATATTTGATTATTATTGGCATCAAGATTGTCTTGTTCCCTTTAATATGTCACCTCACTCCGCCATCATTTTTCATTTTCTTTTCTACGTTTCAGGTGGTCAATATTTGGCATGACCACTTATCTGACATCATAAGAAAAAAAGTTCCATCAGAAGAAGAGGCTGCCAAGTCAAGATCAAGGATGATTGGTCCAGTGAAAGGATTGTTTGAAGACATATCCAGTGGACTAGGTAAAACTCATAACAGAAGTTTCTTCTTGGTACAAATTTAATACTTTATTTAATTGAAATTTGATTCATATCTAATTCCTTAGCTAAAAAAAATCAATAAACTTCATTGCTTTAATTGTTCAAATTTATTCAAATATACAGACTTCAAGACTTTTCTGAAGATTTTTTTCTCTTGGTTATTTTTACTCTCATTTTATTATGCTAATCAATATTATATCTTTAAAGCTTAACCCCCCCATCTTGGTAACCATAGGTATTTCTTTAGAGTACATGTACACATTATTCAGTCTTCACAAACAGATGCTGCTCAGGATGCTGAAGCCATTCAAATTCTCAGCTCAATCTATGATATCCGGGAGCACCAGATCAGCAGACAAGCTCAGGATCTTACCCGAACATGTCATGCAATGGCCATGTTGTATTTTGTACTAGGGGAAATAAAAAAGGTAATCAATAATACACCAAATAATAGGACACCCAAAGCCTCTCCAGGATGGGACTCATAATAAGTAATCACTGAGTTTTACTTAAGAAGCTACATATCATCTCTTAAAGAAAGATAGCTGCATTAGGCAAAGGCAACCTTTTCAGTAAAGGAAACACATTTTAACCAAAGTATACACAAAAAGCTAAATAAAAAGAAACTAAATAATCAAAATGTATTATGCATTATAAAATTTAATTTATATTTCAGCCTTACCTTCAATTTTCATTTTTTTTAGCATACCAGCAAAATTGTATAATTTAGTCTCTATACTTAGAAAAAAAAATAGTTTGTTCTAATTTCTTCTAACCAGGCTAAAGAGTTTGGCCGTAAAGCAATTGTTGCAAGTGATCAAGTCAAAGACGATGACTTATCAAAATCATTAGTTGAATTTATGAAGCTGTGTGAGCGACAAGGACCTAGCAGCTAAACACAAGTTTAACAAGCTAGTCTTTGGACTTAAATTCCAACCACCTTACAGTTAGACGCAAGTTTTGACCTTATTGTCATAATATCTGAAAAATTTTGCTCCTTACAAATTTATGCATTTTTACTAGAAATTATTGTTTATGGAAATTCTTTCCTTCAATTTTAAAATAATAGTTTTTATTTATTCACGTATAAGGCCTAATTATTTCAAAATGGTGTGTCTAAATTCAATTGTAAAGAAATTAGATAAATGTTTTGTCTATTGAATTGTGAAGACTTTTGATAAGTTATATGTATATAGTTTAATTTCTTTTTTAAGACTTGATTATGACAATACTCTGACAATTTAGTTTAAAAGATTTTATTGACAATAATGACTGGTAAAGTTCAGTTTAAAAAAATGAGTTGTATATATGATACATTTTTGTAAAATATAATTGATCCTTTCTTAAATACCATAAAGTTTGGTAAAATAATTTGTAAAGTTTCTTTCAAGATATTTTGTTGGATAAATTTAATATATATTATTTAAATAACACTGCTTTAATTGTTAGCTTTATTTGATGATAAAAAACAAGAGAGTGAGAGGGCTTTCATACTCTCTCCTTTTACCCCTGATCAGTTACACAAATGCAAAAAAAGTGATAAGATAAATCGATCATTAATTGAAAGAAGGCGTAATATATATTTCATTAAGTTATTAAAGAACTTTAAAACTAAGCCAGTGGTTCCCAAAATAGGATGGTTTTGAACAATTTTGGTACTTCAGTCCAGCTCTGGTGGAAAGATTATTTGTCATACTTTGCTTATACAAACATAATAATATGTACATTTATTTAATGTCATGAATGTTTTGAAATTGCTGCAGTTTGAGAATTCAGCTGTTGAATTTTTCTAAATATACTACCATAATTTTTTGTGTATCTTTAATGTATCTGAATTTTACGTAAGTTTATTAATATTTTATTGTTCAGCCAGATGACTCAAAAACAGATTTAAATTTAAAAAAGCTTTAAGCTCAAAAAAAATTTTTTTGGTAAAATTAATGTGCTGAATAACGTTTTATAAAATGATAGTTTTACTGGCCAACAACTTAACAAGTCAACAGCTTTATGGCACAGAAAAGACAAACATCAATAGGTAAGATAAAAAAAGAAAAACTCCCTCGCCACATGAGTTGCAAGAAAGATTATTTTATTTTGTACTGATTATGGTAAGTCCACATGCACCAAGTGACCAAAGTGTTTTATTGCACATAAATTACTGCTGCACGTGTAAAACATCTGCACAATTGATCCAGGATAAATAGTGTAGTATTGCACATAAGATTATTGTTGCAAGTGTAATACAGTGCAAAAGTGAACCAGGATACACAGTGTCATAAAAGAACATCAAGTTATTAGTTGCACATGCCTATATCTTGCTTTTTAAAGAGAAAAATTATTGGAAATCCTTTTTAGGAACTCTTTGGTTTTGTTCTGGAATTTTTTAAAAATAAATGTTCATGGTAAAATCAAAAAAGGTGTTTAAATTTTCTAATAATGTGATTAGTTCAGATTATCGATATATATATTTTTTTGCGCACATGATTTATTTGAATAATATATAGAAAAAATGGAAATCTCTCTAGTGTAAGTATAGTGATACTTTTATTTGTTTGTTGACTTGGCTGTAAGACCAAACATGATTATAATCAAGATGCGATCACTGTTTCATTACTTATGTTCATATAACATTTCAATATGAAATGTTTGTGGGAGAATTCTCCCAAAAGCCAAAAATTATTTCCATGAGGAAGAGTTTACAAACAACATGACCTAAAATAATCAATTTATTTATTTTTAAAAAAATTAAATTTGCACGGAATATTATTGTTTACAATTTTGCAAGGAATTCAAAATGTAAAATTTAAAAAAAAAACAACTTCAAAAGTGTTACCTGCTCCAGAAATCATCAACATCCTTATTTTGCTATATTAATAAATTAACTATGAACATAATATGGAAAAAAGCTATATTTATTTTGAATAAATTTTTATAAAATATGAGCTTAATCTAGTTAGCTCTATTTATTTACTTTGTGAGTGGGCTTGTGAGTAGGACAATTTCAGTTGTTTTGTAAGTGATGGACTAATCTGTATTTGTTTATTTGACATTTTGTTTTGTTTTTTGCTGCTGCAATATCACAATTATCAAGACCTAAACAAGTCAGTTGTAATAATGTTTGAGATATAAAATTTAGACAAAACATAGTCCACATTGCAGGACAGTCATTCCGACTGAAAAAAAAAATATCCAGTTCTTACAAAAAAGAAAAACAAAAAACATCAGACACAACTAATTAGTTAGAGACTATTGCAAAGTTATGCAGGCAGTAATATAGGCACAAACAATGGTTCGGAGCTTTGGGGGCAATACAGGCACAATCCATTCAGGGGAAGGGTAGTGGAAGGTTGGTTATATGAGGCAAGGTGGGGTTTGGGGAGTGGGATGGGGGCGGCATCATCATTTTTTTTAAAATGTCATTTTTTCACCCAGGGAAAGGACCTGAAGCCTTTAAAATGTCTGGTAGGTTGACATTTATCCCTGCACCCCCTGTTACACCTCTGGTGGAAGGTGTGATCTTGGTTGCATATCTCAGACCCAGTGACACTATTTTTTAGTGATAAAAACTAATGTTTCTAATTTTTAAAAGAAATGATTTTGGAAGGAATAGCTTTTAAAAAAAAACATTTAAACATGTTTGGATTAAATGATTTCTGAAATTCTGACCAAAAAAAATTTCAAATATATTGAATGCACAATTTTAAAGACATTTAATTAAAGACATTATTATCAGAGATACAGAGAATGGAAAAATGTTACAGATTATGGTCATTGTTCCTTAAAAATTAATTCTTGCTTAATAGATCATGTCCTGTCAGAAAAAAAAACAAGTAATTGTTACATAATCCATTTCCCTAAATTCAAGTTATTGTTATATAATAATACATAATTTTTTGGACATTTATAATAAGCCAGTTCCTCATTTATAAAAAGCCAGTTCCTTATTTATAGTAGGCCAGTTACTTATTTATAATAGTTACTGTTACATTATACATTTCCGTTAATAAAAGTTACTAATATTTTATGCAGTTCAGTTAACAACAGTTATTGTTACATAGGAAATTTCCCTGACTTTAAGTATGTAATCATTTGCAACAATTATTTTCTGGTATGAACATTCCTAGTTAAAGTTAATGAAGAATAAATCAAAATTCAGCATTGCTAAGTCATGGCTACTAAATAAATTTAAAAGATATTTAAAATGTTAAAGTTAAAGAGATGAGCAATTTTTTGCAGGCACAAATTATTTTAAAAAGCTTTGATTACTACAATATGCATTTGATGGATCAATGAATAAATTACAGCAAATATGGTGCGTCCTCTTGCGGCATAGCTAAACTACTAACTGAGATTGTCAAAAGATTATTGGTCTCCACAATTTCTAATTTCACTTTATAATTTACGGTAGCAAGAAAAATAAACCAAAAATATAAGCTAATTATCCTATCAAAGTGTGTTTCCTTAGATTATAGGGCAAACAAAAATATAAAACATTAGCAGCATAAGCTCCAGATTTGGTGACAATATAGAACTAATACAATGGTACCTCGGTATACGTCCGTTTTGGAATAAGTCCACCAACTTGGTATACGTCCAGTTTGGACGAGAAACATTTTGCTTGGTATAAGACCTTTGTTTGGAATACGGCCGGCGTGTGTCCTAGAACTTGTATGTGTCAAAATGACACATCACTGCAGGAACTTGAGAAGGATGAGCACAAGACTAGGATGGATGCACCCTCTTCAGGCTCTGAGGAGGAGGAGATAGAGTAGAGGAAGCTCCTACTTCTTGAATCAAGGAAATCTTTTCTAAATGGATGGATGTCAAAAACTTTGCAGGGAAGTATCATCCCAACAAAGCCCAAACAAGTCGTAATAGCCTTGTCTGGAATGACCAGACAATGTCACATTTTCGAAACATCCTGAGGAGAAGGCAAAAAGCAAAGCTTTTTAGACAGATTTTTAGTAAAAGTCAAACCTGGTGAGCCTAAACCAGGGTCAGCTATGGAAAAAAAACAGAAAAAAAGAAGAAAAAACCAGAATATCATATTCCTGAAGTTTTATTGGAAGTGGACTCTCCTTCAAAACTATAACATCTCCTCCATCCCAGCAACATATTAGTAAGCACTTGACTCTTCTCACCAAGGTAAAGTGAGGTTAAATTTTCCAATATTATGATTTTTTTTTCTCATGGTAACGGATATATATGTTCCCTTTATTCTTGATTCTTATACTTATGGGGAAAATACTTTTGGTATACGTCCTGTTTGGTATAAGTCCAAGGATCTGGAACGGATTAAGGACATATACCGAGGTACCACTGTATATATCAGACAGAAAATGTTCAATTTTTTTCCCCAGCCCACATGAATAGCACACTTTGAGAAAGTCTGCCTGGCATTCAAATTATTTGTTATCGACTGTCCCTTTCTATGACACTTAATATTTTGAGGTGAATCTTTAGTTTAATTATACATGATTTAATGATACCATTGCAATGTAGTTATCGAAGTAAAAAGTGTGACAGATTTGTAAGCCTACCACACCAGATGACAGAGGGCATTAAATTAATTTTTAATATTTATTCATTACTTAATAAAATATTTCCTTTGATAAATATAAATAATGACATATTATTAACTATGTTTGAGAAATGTTGTGACTGAAGAATTGGTGAAATAAGCTGATAAATTTCAAAGCATCTAGATGAAACATGATTTCTGCCTCATACTTTTTTTAAAGTTTGAATATCATTGAATTTGCTAGGCAAAGGAAAGAATATTCTTTGTTATTCCATTTGTAATCCTATGAGTCAACTCATTTGTACTGAAATTGTAATATTTTTTCTTAATCCAATTCATTGGAAAGTAAAGAATTAAAATGACAGCAGGCTTAAATGGCCCAACAATGGCTGGCTGTGTGGAAGCAACATATTATGATAAGTTGTCCTTCAAAAAAAATGTTATTCCATTTGTAATCCTATGAGTCAACTCATTTGTACTGAAATTGTAATATTTTTTCTTAATCCAATTCATTGGAAAGTAAAGAATTAAAATGACAGCAGGCTTAAATGGCCCAACAATGGCTAATTTGTACTGAAATTGTAATATTTTTTCTTAATCCAATTCATTGGAAAGTAAAGAATTAAAATGACAGCAGGCTTAAATGGCCCAACAATGGCTGGCTGTGTGGAAGCAACATATTATTATAAGTTGTCCTTCAAAAAAAATGTGGTCCTTTTTATTAATATCTCGACTATAAAAAAAAAAAAATGCATAAATTTACACCTACTAACCTACTGGATTTACCTCCATTCATATTAAAAAGAAAAAAATTGAATTGAAAGTGGAGGAACACTGTGCTGTAGTTCAGACAAAATTATGAGAAGTATCCTTGTGGATTAGTGAATATATAAGGGTGCGTATAGACCAGCAAGTGAAAAAACATCAATATTAGACATTTTATTGATCCAATATAGTGAGGGGAAATATATGTATTATGATTTAAGTAACATTGTGATACTGTCCTCTTCCTGGTGTAATAATGTGCCTCAGAAATAATTTTTACAATATAAGGCTTTTTTAGCCAGAGTTGAGGAGTCTGGTTGTGTTGGATTGATTTGGGGCAGTTGAGGGTTTGGGAGTCACACAAATTATACAAGCAGAAAATAGATTTAACCTTCAGTTTGTATTCATCGATAAAGAGTAGAAATCTAAACCCTATCATATATGCCGTAAGTGAATAATAGTTTAGATTGTTAAAAAATTAACAACTCTTCAACACTGACAGTTACTGAACTATAAGCTATAGCAAAGTAAAAAAGATATTTTTAAAATGGACTGATTTTACTAAATATTTATGAAGGCATATAAATATGAAAATGAATTAATTTTATAGTTTGGATGTATGATACAAGTATAAAAAATAGGAATTATTATTTGGTTGATAGAAAAATGTTTTGTAACATTATAAAATATTGAGCAGATCCATTGTAATGTACAAGTATCTTCCATTCAGAATGGAACAAAAATCAGCGGGCTATGAAATATGTTAAAAAATATATTAGCAATGGCACAGAAATCAATTTTTTCTACGTTCAATCAATGGATTGAGTTGTTTTGTGTGTGTGTGTTTTAGTGCTGACACAAATTATCCTTACAGACATTTAAAAAAAAGAAAAACCCTACAAAAATCATTGATAAATTGAGAAAAGTGATGAGTGTATATTTTGTTATTATGGCCTTATTTTTCTATGGCATCTAAGACTGTATCAATATTTTTACAATTGATTTAAATGGTTCATGATTTTTTATAAAAAATTCCTTGGAATGGTAAAATTAAAGTGTAAAATAATATTTAAAAAAGCATTACTTTACTTATTTTTAGTTTTTCTCTGAAGACTTTGAAATTAAATAAAATCCCAAAACAGCTGCCTACCACTTTCAACTAATGGTTCTCTCTTAAGATACCAGATGAAAACCCCAAAAATATTTGGAAAGCATGGATAAACAAAATTTTGCAAGTTCCACATCATGATCATCATCACGCATGTTTTCGGTATTGCTATTTAAAATGACATGTTTTTTTAAACATTAAATAAAAAATATATATCAAGGATGACTAGGAAGAAATGACATTGAATATAACAACATATGTTAAACATTAGGCAGGACTGGGTAGGGTGTTCATATTTATTTACAAATAGGCTACATCAAATTCATATTGAACTGTTTTCATTCATTGTTTGTCTTCATTAATTATTCTTATGAAAGATATCATATTATCTAAAACAAAACTTAAAGAAAATTATTTAAAATACAGAGTTTCTCTATCTGTTATTTCCAAAAACATCAAAAACTTCAGTGAATTTGCTAAAAAGAAAAGTGGCCATAGCTTAAAACTGTTATTATAATTATACACATGACATTTAAATGAATACTAAAGTGTACAAATTAACCTAACAATCTGGTAATAAATAAGCCTAACTTACTTCAATTGAAAATGTTTTAAAAATTAAGGTTTAAATTTTACATTCACTTTAACATATAATAGTTGGATTCAGTAATATTACGGTACTTTAAGTGTCTATCAGTATGAGTAAATACAAAACCAGTGTATAAAAACCATCAGCAGTTGCCTCTGACAAAGCAAAGTTTTAAACCCTAAAACGCTTTCATTCACTTAAGTAGTTAAACCAGCAACTGATTGATTCATAAATATAGGCAATGATGAATTTGACAGTGGATTTGGTGAATAAATACTTTAAATAATTAAATAAAACAAAATCTTCTTGACCCATAAACATCAACTAAATATATTACAGAGCATTCAAATTGTCGTAAGATATTTTAAAGTCAGCATAAAAATTTTTAGGAAAATTTTATAACGCCATGCATCAAAAAAAGCATGTAATTTGTTGAGTTGTTTTCTATAATTGTCTAAAATGTGAAAAATGTAAATTTGCATATTAAATGGCATTGGGCCTACGCCAAACACACTTTGAGCCATTGATATTAAATATACCATGTATAATTTGGACCTTCCGTTGCAATAAGATATCTAATTTATACATATATTTTTGAAATTTTATAAATAAATGCAATTCAAAACATTTGAGGTCATGGAAACTATTGGAAAAAGAACATGTTGGCCTTAAAGAAAGGGGAAGCATCAAATCTATCATGGAAAAGGTCTAAATTAATTTTTATCAAAGTAAAGATTGCATTTGTGTCCAAAATTTAAATGTTTATCAGATAGCTTTTAGGAGTCTTTACATAAATCTATCCAAAAAAAATTATTCATAATGTAAACAATAAAGATTTTATGTACATGGTGTTATTCTAAGATCTATTGCTCAAACAGAAACATATGCTCTCATTACTTGGTTAAAAAAAAATAATGTGAACTAATTTAAAGCAAAACCCATCACAACATTAAAATGTGAACAAAATCAAACTTGACAGTGCAAGTTTTTATGTATAGATTATTTAAATTAAATGTTGCTGCACAAACTGCAATGATGATGTAGTAAGAAGAAAGGACTAAACAAATTCTCTTCCAACTACTTAGCATTTTTTCAATTAATAATAGCTTCTTTTGCTTTGTTCATTTCAATATTAAAATATTTAAGTTTAGAGACACTGATTAATAGATCTTCAAAAGGCAAAGGAAAGGTACATCTATAAAACATAGAACATTTTTTTTTTTTTGATTTGGGAAAATAAGCATTATAAAATTAATGTTGACTTATTTGAAAGGAGAATTCAACCCTTGTATTAAAGAGCCTCATACCATCAGCAGGCACCAGCCAGTATTACTCACATTGTGAACACTCTCTTCGCTTATTCATAGACCCTAACTAACTCTTTTCTATGCCATTAAATAATTGTTAAAATTTAATGTAACATAAAAAGATTTTACAAATTGTCGAATAGATACATTTTCATATAAGAAAACCAAATAAAGATGAATAGTTTGAAACAATTTTAAGACAATTCCATTAGTTAATTTCTTTGAAATGCTGATTTGCTTTTATGACAGTAGTATATTTATTGGCCTAATTTAATAAATTTAGCAATGAAATAGCTCTGATGAATAGTTTGAAACAATTTTAAGACAATTCCATTAGTTATTTTCTTTGAAATGCTGATTTGCTTTTATGACAGTAGTATATTTATTGGCCTAATTTAATAAATTTAGCAATGAAATAGCTCTTTAAGATTGATTTGTTATTTTGTGAGATTGTAAAACAGAAAAAGTTAACATTGAAATGGTAAATGATAGCAGAGCTTTTGTGAGAAGCAAGAATTCATAAGTACAATTGTATATTAATGAAAGCTAACAATGTTAGTAAGATTCCACATTAGTGAACATTAGGGATTGTAATTAAACATTGGATGATTGGATTGGTAGCAAAATCTTTTTTAAACCTGAAAAATATAAAATTGGACTGGTGTTGACAAAAAAAAAATAATAATAAAAAATATAAATATATTACATCAAAATTTGCACAGAAATTCTTTTTTTAATTTAAAAAATAAACAAACAAAAATACAACAAAGGCAAATCAGTGGCAAACAAGTAAAGTGTTAACCAAAAAATTCTGCCACCATCTTCATCCTGCTGGTCATATAAGAGTATGGAATATGTTTACAAAATAATTTATAAAATTTGGAAACAAAATTTAAAAAAAAGACAGTATTGTTTTGTTTATTATATAGCAACCTAATCAACAATCAAAGAGTTACATGAGTAGAATGTGGATGTGTGGGAGCAACATAAATGAAAACAATTTTTGTATCCTTGCATTTGAATAAATAATATAGGGCCTACTATATTGCCTTTCCAAACATCCAATAAATATTAAAGTAGGCTATTCATAGACATATTTGGAAATGGATTTAAGCATGTTTCTTCCATTAATAGTCAATATGGTATTCATATTCTACGTATAAAGGAAAAAAACCAGATAAACAATGCATTAAAATATTTTTTTTAAAATTTCCTTTAAGTTGTAAGGTCCTGCAGCCACCCTTTTCTTTGGCTAGAAACTTTTTAGAAATAAAATCATCAATAAAAACGATCTATCAATGCTTTTTGACTATTTCCAAAACAATTTTTTTTTCATTGCCTCTGCTCATTGCCTCTGCTCTTTGCCTCTGCTCTTTGCCTCTGCTCATTGCCTCTGCTCTTTGCCTCTGCTCATTGCCTCTGCTCTTGTCCTCAGCTATTTGCCTCTGCTCATTACCTCTGCTCTTTGCCTCTACTCATTACTTCTGCTCATTACCTCTGCTCTTTGCCTCTGCTCATTGCCTCTGCTCTTTGCCTCTGCTCTTTACCTCTGCTCTTTGCCTCTGCTCTTTACCTCTGCTCTTTATCTCTGCTCTTTACCTCTGTTCTTTACCTCGGCTCATTGCCTCTGCTCATTGCCTCTGATCTTTGCCGCTGCTCATTGCCTCTGCCCATAGCCTCTCCATAATAATCTCCTCTACGAATCTGGTAGACAGTGATGGGATTTTTAAAATACCAGCTGATTTGGGCGATTAGTTTCGTAAAAATGAACATTCAATAAATAGATTAACATTTATTTTTAATATTAATTACCCACCCCACCCCAACCCTTAACAGTTTTGAACCTCTTCTGTATAATAAAATGCAAGTAGTAAATAAAATATCAACGATTGGCCGGCAGTAAACAAGACAAACACATTACACAAAGGATTCAAGCTTCTTCTAAGTTGATCTCACAACTTTCAAAGTCCTCGAATTTACTGACAGCTTTGGTCACATCGTTGCAGTTGTTCCTATTGGAGTTCTTGTTGTCCTCAGCCAGAAAGCTCTGCTCGCGTTTCTTCTCAGCGTTGCTGTCGTTGCCCTCCTCGCTGCTGATGCTGTTGGTCTCCTGCCGCATCTCCTCCTTGGTTGGTCTGAAAAATAAACACTTGATGGCGCTGTACGCCCTCGAGCAGTAGGCTCCCCTAACGGATGATGGCATGACGGCCATGTCCTTTTCCCGAGACTGACTCCGCGCCCTCCGCGACTGAACGTTCCATCGTCTGCTGGGCGTGCAGAAGAGGTCAAGGTTCGAGCGTTTCCCATTGCCTGACGAGTTTGAGCTGTCAGAATCCTGGCTCTGTTGCCGACTCGGCTTGTGCACCTTCTTAGTCAGCCAGCTCCTGCCGGACATGATTTGATTCTGATTGGGGACGTCCGTGGTGTTACCGTTAGTCTGATCAAGGGCACTTAATACATTTTGATTCTGTCCCAGGTGGTTGTTAGCTCCCAGATAGGACTCCCGGAAAGCGTTCAGGTTGGTATATCTCTCTGGGAGGAGGCGCAGCATCTCCTCATAGTGAGTCTCTTTCTCTGCCTCTATGGAGTTGACGACGTACTTATTAGCGGAGCCGGATAAGAACGGTGATTTTTTCAAGCCCAAGGGACGCAAATGTGGCTGGATGTGCTCAGAAGGGGAGACGATATTTAGGGAATCCGCTGATGTGTCACTATCCTTCCTGTCATTGTGTATGTAGTCCGCCATTATGGGCGTGAAGCTGCCGAAACCCTGCAAGGACAAATCTTCCGACCTGCGCTTCGCCGTCGGTGGTGTGGATACGGACATCGGAGCAGCGGACAGGTAGGACATCTTCGGTTTCTCGGAATCATCCTTGGAGTCATTGATGGACGCCGAACTCAGCTTCCGGCCGTACTGGGTATCCATCCCGTTCTGGTCCGCCAGAGACGCAGCGCTTAATTTCCTCCCCCTGTCAGTGTGCTCCCCGGCCTCCTCCGCCCTTGCGTACGGGGTGTCTGTCAGTCGGGGGTCACCCAGGGAGGCTACGCTAAGCTTTCTTCCAGAGGGCGTGTCCATCAAGGAAACCGAGCTGAACTTGCGGTAATTGGGCGGGTCGATCACAAAAGACGTGCTCATTTTACGACGGTACGGCGACTCCATGAGAGAAACGGAACTCATTTTCCTAGCACTCGGGCAGTCTAACAGAGACGCAGCACTGAGCTTTCTCGCACCGGGGGAGTCACTCAGGGAGGCGCAGCTCAGCTTCCGTATGTCGCTGTTGGAGATTGCACTGAATTTCCTACGAGACATGTCCTCCCGCATCGATTGAGCTATGGAGTAGGAGGAAAAAGAGTTCATCACACTCCCTGGAGTTTTTCTTGGCGTGTAGGCGCCGTACCTGTAGCTGCTGGTTGGAGTAGAGACAGCCGAATGAGGCACTGATAGCGGCGATGGGGTGTTGTCCACGGAGCCCAAAGACGGGGACTGCGCAGTTCTTGTGTCCATGTACAGTTTGGAGTTGACGAAAATTATTGGTTTCTGCGGACCGGCGTTGGGGCCTTTTGAGCCGGGCCGGGAATTGTCTGTTTTTGATGTCGCTGTCGAGGATGCCGAGGACAGTGAGGACTGAGTTCGACATTCTTTGATGGACTTGGGTTGCGGTTGGGGCTGGGCTGCGGCAAAGTTTCTCGGCTTGACCTGAGCGGAGCCGAGCCGTATAGCCAGCCACTGTAAGGCGTCCTGCAAGCCTTCTCCGCTGACGGCACTGACAGGAATGATACCTGGGGATTGCAATGGGAAATTTTTTTTTTTTTTTAAAATGTGTTAAGTCTTTGTGGATTGGATACATTTTCAATCAAGTCTCGTAATAATGGCATAGGCTGTCCAAAAGTCACATGACAATGAATCTGACGGAGATCAAAAAGTTTGTTTTTTAAAACTGTCCACTTACCCCATGGATGTTTGAGATATTTCAGGCCCAGGCGCTCGGCAATCTCCTCCACTGACATGGTGTCGGGCAGGTCGATTTTGTTGGCCAAGAACAGAAACACGGCACTCGTAAGCTCCTCGGCGTTGACTGCGGGTTTGATGACGTCATAATTCAGCTCATCCAGCCTCTCGGGGTCGTGGCTGTCAATGACGAACACCACAGCGTCTGCTCCTTTGTAGTAGTGCCGGAATAGGGGGCGCTGTTGGAAATGGAAAGCAAACGTCAAGGCCAAGGATACTACGTTTGCGATTAGTTTTGGTAAGGGCACTAGTGAACAGATTTTTTGCCTTCTCATCCTTCAATTTCAATTAACTATTCTTATCAGTTGTTAAATGTTAAGGAATACATTAATAGCTGCAAGTGAGACATGGGCCACCACTTAGTAAACACATAACCAGCGCATTAGCGGAGCGAGACTGCATAATGATGTTTGGTCAACTGATGCCTAAGATCTATCTGCATAATGATGTTTGGTCAACTGATGCCTAAGATCTATCTGCATAATGATGTTTGGTCAACTGATGCCTAAGATCTATCTGCATAATGATGTTTGGTCAACTGATGCCTAAGATCTATCTGCATAATGATGTTTGGTCAACTGATGCCTAAGATCTATCTGCATAATGATGTTTGGTCAACTGATGCCTAAGATCTATCTGCATAATGATGGTTGGTCAACTGATGCCTAAGATCTATCTGCATAATGATGTTTGGTCAACTGATGCCTAAGATCTATCTGCATAATGATGTTTGGTCAACTGATGGCTAAGATCTTTAAAAAAAAAATACAAGTGCCGTGGGAGAGCCACTAAATTGAACAGTGATTGTGCCCCATGAAATATTATAACCCTTTGAACCAAATCTTATTCTAAAAAAGTATTTGCCCCACTTGTCGGATTAATGTTCTTACAACACAACTATACAATCATGATAACGAGACCTTTAAAAACTAAAACCGAAAAAAATATCGAGAAGCACAACGACTTACTATTTTGTCTCGGCTGCCAATGTCCCAAGCAGTCAGGTGAAGATCTTTGTATTGGATGCTCTCCACATTGAACCCTGGGAAGATGAGCGGCACATATAGGATATAACGCTAAGAGGTAACGTTGGTGTGTGTGTGGGGGTGGGTGGTGGCGGGGGCAGTAGGATTGAACATAACAGATGTTTGACTAACCATTGGAATGTAGTGAAGAGACATGACCTCTACAGCACATGACCTCAACCAAATATTTTTTGACAATCTTATAAATACAGTTGGGGGACTTCCAGTAAGGGTTGCAAAAGGGGTTAACGCAGGTGGTTGTCACCAGATGCTACGTCGCTGGTTCAAAGCTGACAGTTACAAGAACCAGTCTACGCAAGAAACCTGTGGTCGTCAGAGCATCGAGTAATAAGAAGCAAGTGAGATCTGTGGTGGCGAAAACATACATACCCAGCTTTATATTTTACAAAACCTATGGTGGAAATGAATAACATACCTATTGTAGGAACGAATGACAAACCTATTATGTTAATGGTGGTCAGTACATACATAACCAGACGTATATAACAAACCTATTGTAGGAATGGTGGTCACCAGATCGTCCAACTTGAGTCTGTACAGTATGGTTGTCTTCCCTGCTGAATCAAGACCTGCAGAAAAGGGAGGGAGGGGGGAGAGAAAGGAGTTGGTCATCATTGTTGAAAGCGAGGCAAGTCCAACAGACTCGAGGATTTATACAGGTGGGCATTAATCCTGTGACATAATTGGTGCACTAATCCTGTGACATAATTGGTGCACTAATCCTGTGACATAATTGGTGCACTAATCCTGTGACATAATTGGTGCACTAATCCTGTGACATAATTGGTGCACTAATCCTGTGACATAATTGGTGCATTAATCCTGTGACATAATTGGTGCACTAATCCTGTGACATAATTGGTGCATTAATCCTGTGACATAATTGGTGCACTAATCCTGTGACATAATTGGTGCACTAATCCTGTGACATAATTGGTGCACTAATCCTGTGACATAATTGGTGCACTAATCCTGTGACATAATTGGTGCACTAATCCTGTGACATAATTGGTGCACTAATCCTGTGACATAATTGGTGCACTAATCCTGTGACATAATTGGTGCACTAATCCTGTGACATAATTGGTGCATTAATCCTGTGACATAATTGGTGCATTAATCCTGTGACATAATTGGTGCATTAATCCTGTGACATAATTGGTGCATTAATCCTGTGACATAATTGGTGCACTAATCCTGTGACATAATTGGTGCATTAATTCTGTGACATAATTGGTGCACTAATCCTGTGACATAATTGGTGCACTAATCCTGTGACACAATTGGTGCATTAATCCTGTGACATAATTGGTGCATTAATCCTGTGACATAATTGGTGCCATAACGCTGTGACATAATTGGTGCACTAATGCATTGGACATAATTTGTGCACTAATCCTGTGACATAATTGGTGCCCCTCACAAAAGATACATTTTACAAAATCTTTCTGATGAGAATGCCATCCAATATAAGATACGATTCTTTTATTGAGCCAAATAAAAGGAAATGTTTTTTGATTGCATTGTACATTTTCAGCACAGAAATAAAGCAATTTGAACATAAGACATCTCCATTAAATTATTTCACTAGTGAAAAAACCAGCCATTCAGTGAATTCTCTTAGTCATATGAGGGACTTATTAGTTCTCATTTAGTTTTGTGTCTACAGGGGGAGCACGCTGGTAAATTTGTAAAGATTGGGGAACAAAATAATTTTTATATCTTTCAGTCCTTGCTCTGAGAGAAAGAATTCGTCCCGAACGGGCCGATCCTAAGTATCTGTGATGTATCAGTGGGATGTATCAGTGGGATGTATCAGTGGGATGTATCAGTGGGATGTATCAGTGGGATGTATCAGTGGGATGTATCAGTGGGATGTATCAGTGGGATGTATCAGTGTGATGTATCACTGGGATGTATCAGTGGGATGTATCAGTGGGATGTATCAGTGGGATGCATCACTGGGATATATCACTGGGATGTATCAGTGGCATGTATCATTCGAATGTATCACTGGGATGTATCAGTGGCATGTATCATTCGAATGTATCAGTGGGATGTATCAGTGGGATGTATCACTTGGATGTATCACTAGGATGTATCAGTGGGATGTATCAGTGGGATGTATCAGTGGGATGTATCACTTGGATGTATCACTAGGATGTATCAGTGGGATGTATCACTGGGATGTATCAGTGGGATGTATCAGTGGGATGTATCAGTGGGATGTATCAGTGGGATGTATCAGTGGGATGTATCAGTGGGATGTATCACTGGGATGTATCACTGGGATGTATCACTGGAATGTATCAGTGGGATGTATAACTGGGATGTATCAGTGGGATGTATCACTGGGATGTATCACTGGGATGTATCAGTGGGATGTATCAGTGGGATGTTTCACTGGGATGTATCACTGGTATGTATCAGTGGGATGTATCAGTGGGATGTTTCACTGGGATGTATCAGTGGGATGTATCAGTGGGATGTAACAGTGGGGTGTATCACTGGGATGTATCACTGGGATGTATCACTGGGATGTATCAGTGGGATGTATCAGTGGGATGTATCACTGGGATGTATCAGTGGGATGTATCATTGGGATGTATCAGTGGGATGTATCACTGGAATGTATCAGTGGGATGTATCAGTGGGATGTATCACTGGAATGTATCAGTGGGATGTATCCCTGGCATGTATCACTGGGATGTATCAGTGGCATGTATCATTCGAATGTATCACTGGGATGTATCAGTGGGGATGTATCACTGGGATGTATCAGTGGCATGTATCACTAGGATGTATCACTGGAATGTATCACTTGGATGTATCACTAGGATGTATCAGTGGGATGTATCAGTGGGATGTATCATTCGGATGTATCAGTGGGATGTATCACTAGGATGTATCACTGGAATGTATCACTTGGATGTATCACTAGGATGTATCAGTGGGATGTATCAGTGGGATGTATCACTGGGATGTATCACTGGGATGTATCACTGGGATGTATCACTGGGATGTATCAGTGGGATGTATAACTGGGATGTATCAGTGGGATGTATCAGTGGGATGTATCACTGGGATGTATCAGTGGGATGTATCAGTGGGATGTATCAGTGGGATGTATGGGATGTATCACTAGGATGTATCAGTGGGATGTATCACTAGGATGTATCACTGGAATGTACCACGTGGATGTATCACTGGGATGTATCAGTGGGATGTATCAGTGGGATGTATCACTGGGATGTATCACTGGGATGTATCACTGGGATGTATCACTGGAATGTATCAGTGGGATGTATAACTGGGATGTATCAGTGGGATGTATCAGTGGGATGTATCACTGGGATGTATCAGGGGGATGTATCAGTGGGATGTTTCACTGGGATGTATCAGTGGGATGTATCAGTGGGATGTATCAGTGGGATGTATCAGTGGGATGTATCAGTGGGATGTATCAGTGGGATGTATCAGTGGGGTGTATCACTGGGATGTATCACTGGGATGTATCTGTGGGATGTATCACTGGGATGTATAAGATGGATGTATCAGTGGGATGTATCACTGGGATGTATCACTGGGATGTATCAGTGGGATGTATCAGTGGGATGTATCACTGCGATGTATCAGTGGGATGTATCATTGGGATGTATCAGTGGGATGTATCACTGGGATGTATCAGTGGGATGTATCAGTGGGATGTATCAGTGGGATGTATCAGTGGGATGTATCACTGGGATGTATCAGTGGGATGTATCATTGGGATGTATCACTGGGATGTATCAGTGGGATGAATCAGTGGGATGTATCAGTGGGGTGTATCAGTGGGATTTATCACTGGGATGTATCACTGGGATGTATCACTGGGATGTATCAGTGGGGTGTATCACTGGGATGTATCACTGGGATGTATCAGTGGGATGTATCAGTGGGATGTATCACTGGGATGTATCACTGGGATGTATCACTGGGATGTATCACAGGGATGTATCACTGGGATGTATCAGTGGGATGTATCAGTGGGATGTATCAGGGGGATGTATCACTGGGATGTATCAGTGGGATGTATCACTGGGATGTATCAGTGGGATGTATCACTGGGATGTTTCACTGGGATGTATCAGTGGGATGTATCAGTGGGATGTATCAGTGGGGTGTATCACTGGGATGTATCACTGGAATGTATCAGTGGGATGTATCAGTGGGATGTATCAGTGGGATGTATCACTGGGATGTATCACTGGGATGTATCACTGGGATGTATCACTGGGATGTATCACTGGGATGTATCAGTGGGATGTATCAGTGGGATGTATCAGTGGGATGTATCAGTGGCATGTATCAGTGGGATGTATCAGTGGGATGTATCAGTGGGATGTATCAGTGGGATGTATCAGTGGGATGTATCAGTGGGATGTATCAGTGGGATGTATCAGTGGGATGTATCAGTGGGATGTATCAGTGGGATGTATCAGTGGGATGTATCAGTGGGATGTATCAGTGGGATGTATCAGTGGGATGTATCAGTGGGATGTATCAGTGGGATGTATCAGTGGGATGTATCAGTGGGATGTATCAGTGGGATGTATCAGTGGGATGTATCAGTGGGATGTATCAGTGGGATGTATCAGTGGGATGTATCAGTGGGATGTATCAGTGGGATGTATCAGTGGGATGTATCAGTGGGATGTATCAGTGGGATGTATCAGTGGGATGTATCAGTGGGATGTATCAGTGGGATGTATCAGTGGGATGTATCAGTGGGATGTATCAGTGGGATGTATCAGTGGGATGTATCAGTGGGATGTATCAGTGGGATGTATCAGTGGGATGTATCAGTGGGATGTATCAGTGGGATGTATCAGTGGGATGTATCAGTGGGATGTATCAGTGGGATGTATCAGTGGGATGTATCAGTGGGATGTATCAGTGGGATGTATCAGTGGGATGTATCAGTGGGATGTATCAGTGGGATGTATCAGTGGGATGTATCAGTGGGATGTATCAGTGGGATGTATCAGTGGGATGTATCAGTGGGATGTATCAGTGGGATGTATCAGTGGGATGTATCAGTGGGATGTATCAGTGGGATGTATCAGTGGGATGTATCAGTGGGATGTATCAGTGGGATGTATCAGTGGGATGTATCAGTGGGATGTATCAGTGGGATGTATCAGTGGGATGTATCAGTGGGATGTATCAGTGGGATGTATCAGTGGGATGTATCAGTGGGATGTATCAGTGGGATGTATCAGTGGGATGTATCAGTGGGATGTATCAGTGGGATGTTTCACTGGGATGTATCAGTGGGATGTATCAGTGGGATGTATCACTGGGATGTATCACTGGGATGTATCAGTGGGATGTATCAGTGGGATGTATCAGTGGGATGTATCACTGGAATGTATCAGTGGGATGTATCACTGGAATGTATCAGTGGGATGTATCACTGGGATGTATCAGTGGGATGTATCACTGGGATGTATCACTGGGATGTATCACTGGGATGTATCAGTGGGATGTATCAGTGGAATGTATCAGTGGGATGTATCACTGGGATGTAT